AACTCTGTTTGTTGTGCTTTGGCTCAATTGATGCAATTCTTCAGCTGGAATGTTCGCTACTTGATCTTCAATGTTTCCTTATGCTCATTAGATTTAAGATTTGCGGACTTGTACTTTCTTTAAATGTTTCCATACTAATAAATTAAATAGTATTGTTTTTATGAATGTATTTAAATCAATGATTTTTTACATAAATTCTATTTTTGTTTAAAGTTTTTTTTTAAAAGTAAACATCTGTTTTTCATGTTACCTTAATTGAATATTATAATCTTTTACTAACAAACAAAAATATTCTTTTAGTGAAATATAATTAATAGTTTTTAACCCTTGCAAAACTAGAACTAATTAATATAGACTCTTTTATTTAAATACTAATATCTTATTAAAAAAATATGTACATTTTATTATAGCAAATATTATATAAAGGGGATTCCACCTAGTATTTTTCTGTCTTTGTCTAACACAAGTGTGCCATAGGATTTGGTTTCGTGTTATTTTCCAAACATACTAAATGATCTAATAAAAAGAATTTGTCGCCAAGTCTACTTGAAATCGACTCCCACGTTTTTGATTTTTTGATTTTAACTTCTACAATAATTGTAATATGACAATTTTTTCAATTACTCTTTTTTAATATAATGTTTTTAGGAATTTGGACGATAATAACATAAATGTGGGAAAGTCGATTTCAAGTAGACTTGACAAATTTTATTTTCAGAATTCTTATCGCTTCACTTTATCAATTTCTACGTTTAGCAAAGAACACATCTACAATTCTATGTTGCCTGTTTGTTAGACCAAAGACAGAAAATCACCGGGTAGAATCCCTTTAATTACTTTCTATAAAAATTAAATTTTTTATGTACCTATGAAGTATTTGGCATAACGTGTAAACTTCTATTTTAATTTCGGTACCTAAATTATTATTATTGATATTTATTGATTATTTATAGTTAATTATATAATTAATTAATTTAATAAAATATTTTTCTCTTTACATACAAAAACTATATTATGATTAATAACCACCAAATAATATTTTTCTCAAAAACTACGTACATACTTTAAAATTATAGAAAAAAATAATTTTTTTTGCCCATATGTTTTTCTCTGTCTTCCACACATATAATAAAGCCATAATATACTTCTCAGTAATTCATTCATTGTGGTATAATTATTGAAATTAAGGTATTATTACATACAATGACAATTATAAAAAAAATAGTAATATCTGTGTTTTGCCTGAAGATTGTTTTAATGTTATAATTATTTGTGAACAATAATAACTGTAAAAAATAAATATATTATTAAGATTCCTTATAATTTTTATAATTAATAATACCTTAATTTTAAAATCTTATAACTGGGTGAAATTTAGAGTAAGTATAATTATATTAAAAGTGAGGAAGATGGGGAAACCATTATGCCATAAGTATTTATTTATCAAAGATACTTATAAGTATATTTATTTTCAATTTGCTCTACTAGTTAAAATATTTTTAGTAAAATTACTTAAGTTAGATGGGTTGATGGTATGTTGTAGAACAATAGAAAGGATTGGCAATTGGCTAGATCCAAGATTGGGTCTTCCCAATACTTTGGTGTTGGAGTTGATAATGCTATATAGGTAACCTAATTAATATACATATAAAATAAAAATAATAATAAATAATTAAAATTTGATATAATTCATATATAAAAAAAAAAAATGAATTTAAATTATTTTTAAACTTTTTTTATTAAGTTTATGTAATATAAATATTATCATGACCAATTCAATCATGTAAACGACAAATTTTAATTTAAAGGCTATCTTGTATATAAATGTTTTATATTACAATTTACTTGTATCCATATTTATATTTTAATAAAATTACATATTTTTTACTCATAATTTGGATGGAATAACATTGGTTAACAATCCTTTCATAAACTATGACATTTTCTGTATAGGTATAAATTGTATAGAAACATGTATACTATTATTTTCCTTTGAAAAAGTTGTGAATCACAGTTAACATTGTATCAAATTCGTTAAGAAATAGCCTCTAACTTACCAAGTTTAGACAATTATTTACCATTTATACTATTTGTCAAGGCTGGGCAATAAAGAATTTCATTAAATCAAAAATTTTTGGGATTAACTTTAACTTAATATGTTACTCTTATAATGTTTAGAACATGTTAACTTCAAGTTTTTTTGAAAAGTATTAAAAAGAAGTTAAACTGTGATAAGACTAATTTATTTATTTATACTTTTATTTGCTGAAAAGATACTATTTGTGATAAAAAATTGCAAGACTTTATATAGGAAAATCTAAAATGTGCAATCATTAAATATTCATTACTTGTTTTGTTTAGACTTTGTAATTTTCATATACACATAATAATATAAATATAATAACTTATAAAGAAAATGTTTTCAATGAATATAAGGATGTAAATTATTCCAAATACTTAAGTATAATAATATAAAAATAACCAAAGTACAAAATGTTAACACAACTTCAAGTAATTACTCAAGAATTACTGATGGATTCAACTTTGGATTTCCCCTCTGGTGGATGGGGAAGAAGAGTTTGCTGGAGACTCAACTTCCCTCTACGCATCCCCCATAAACATCCACATGTAGAAAGCCTATGGCCATATTGCTCCTATCTTAGAAAATTATTGATATTCATCTATTGGATAGGTATGCTATTTTTTTCACTCTTACAAAATTAAAAATTTAATCTTTTAACTAAGTCAATAAAGTTTATTTTCTTATTCATTCATTTTTGACTTAATAATAGATAAACTTCAAGTTTATAATATTTAACTATTAATTATAAGAAGTTAAAAAACATTATCGGGTAACTTTAAAACTTAACTCAACTTAACTTACCTTTATTCTATATTACTTAACTTAAAAAATTGTCCAGCCTTGCTATTTGTTTATATCTTATGTTACATAATCTTGGTGGTTTGTATCTTATAATATGGGCTTTGTTTATCATTTTTTTTTCTATTTTTTTTTTTTTATGAAGGGAACTAGCACTATTTTCTTTATATTTTGTAAGAAAAATTATTAGAATGTAAAAATTAAAAAATGTTAATAATATATAATAATTTATCTATGATCACAGTAATCATTAGCATGTTACGTTATGAGTATAAATAAATAAATAAAAAAAAAAAGTATAATAAAAAGTGTACATTTTGTTCCTAAACCCACAGTTAAGAATTATATTTTGTATTACCTACGCTATTATTGATTTGTATGAAATCATTCATTTTATATTATTCATTTATTTGTGTAAAAACAAATTCAAAATTACTGTATATATCCTAAATTATTTTTCTAACTAATAATGGGAATGGATGTACTAACTGGGTCCGGTTAGATTACAAACCAAATTTTTTTTTTATTATTATAATTATTATTATTCTGGAAACTCTATGTGGTATGTGTGTTGTGTGTGCTTTCCTTAGCAATAAGCTGTACGAGGTGCGGCCGTCATTACAAATTGAAGAGCTCATTGTTGAACCATCAGCGCTGGGAGTGCGGTAAAGAGCCGCAATTCAAATGCTACATGTGCTCGTATAAAGCAAAACAGAAAGCTCACTTGTTGACACACATGAAGTACAGGCATAAAACTGATAACATCAAAACTGAATATTTTTATTAGCATTATATTATATTTAAAATTTTAAAATTTTCTGTATTCAGAAAAAAATGCTCCAATATTTTTTTTTGGATGGGAATAGGATATAAACTCTAATAATATTAATTGTCATCTATACTGTGTTTATTAAAATAGACTGAATTTTCAATAAATAACAATAAACATTAATGTACAAATTCTAGACAAGTCTCGTATATATTATATTATATATAAATGTTTAGTTCACATTTTATGAACACATTTTATACTATTGTCTATTTAATGAATAGGCAAAGTAAATTATAAATTTAAAGTAATTATATTTTTTTTCCTTCTATGTTTTATGATTAAAGGGCTGTGTTTTGTAATTCTATTTATAAAATAATGTTAATTGTTTTTTACTTTAATTCTAACAATATGTATATTTACTTTAAATAGTACATTCAACATAAAATGGTTAAAATAATATAAAATTTATAAACAATTAATTTTTATCCTTAAATATTGTTAATTATTTGTATGTTTTTAAATGTCAATTTACTAAGTCTTATGGTACTTTTTGATTAAATGTTATTATTTTCGTTTTAATTGTCCGTTTATTAAACAAAAGTAGTATTATTCTGATACCTAATAGTATGATTGGAACTCAAAGGAAAATGTGTAATTATTAGCCATTACTTATTAGTTTTACTAGATATAACCTATATTTATTTCTGATGTTCTGTATTTGTCTGTACATGTTACTAAACCATAAAAGGTTAAAATACCATAACATTGTAATTAACAATTCAAAAAGTTTATTTAGGAACACAGGAGAAAGCCTATTCGTACCTTATGAATTTCAATTAGATTTAAGACTTTCATTGGAAAATGTCCACACATGATATATACTAAATATAACCATCAAGCATTTTCAATATCATATTATCTATATTATGATTTCCTGTGTTGTTAACTAATTGTTTAGTAAAAAAAACGAAAATGTTCTATTTTTTTTTTAACTATCTATATATTTGGTAATTAGCATGGCATTAACATAAATAATTGTTATTCGAATTCACTCCAACAATTTGCTACCTATTGAATAATAATTTTGTTCACAATACTCCTTTATAAAGTGGAACTAAGATAAACCTTATCTTAAACAAACATCACTAAGCCTTATCCTCGTGAGTGTTGGGAGTGTACATTTCACTATATCCATTTAGTTAAATTATTTTTACATAAAACTATAGTAAGATCCAAAATGCCTTCTTCTTTTGAATTATATTTAGATCTACGCAAATTAACATTTTATGTATTCATTGTTTTTATATTGGTCTATCACTATTTCATCGTGAAATTTGTGTCCGAAGTATGATAGTGCGTAAGTCATGAATAAATATATAATAACTAATATTAATGTTGTTGCGCTTGGATTGGTTTAACATATCTTCTATACTCTCTTCTATTATACTTTCATATATGCATATATATGTATAAATATATATTTATATATACATAAACAATATTATGTATAAGTGTATTTATTTATATATATGTATATACATAAATTAAATAATTATTAATATTTAATGAATGTTCTATTAGGCTATTGGCTTTTTAAAAAATAAATATCATTGCTGTTAGAATGTTTAACGCCACGCCAAAATACTCATATATTAACACATACAAGTAATTAGCATCATGTTAAAACAAATTAATTGTTTTATATGTAAGTTAATGTTTCTGGTGTCAGTTAATTTATAAACTATTAGGTACGTAATTTTAACTCTTGCAAATATAAGAATTACTAAGACTTTTTTACTGTTATTCTATTGTCTATACCAAATTGGCTAAGAAATATAAAAATTTTACTGCATTGAATTTGATTGAAAATATAACTATCTAAATGTATTTAAATAAATAAAAACATTTAAAAATTTCCATTTTCCATGTATTTCAATCAAGAAAATCATTAAGGGAACATGTCATATAAAAAATTAATGTCATCGGAAGCTATTTTTCCCTCCTTTTGATTTATTGTCTAAATTTTTCTGTCATGTTTGTTATTCGGATCCTTTACAGAAATAATAAAAAGATGGCAGGATGGAGACTGGGATGGATATCCTCCTACTCAACGATCCCTTGTGCCGCTTTTCAATTCATTTGGCCCAAATAGCCCAATGTCTGCCATAAATTTCAAATTCACTAACTACTACAACAACTGTAAGTTTGATCCAACTTCACCTAATGACACGTTACAAATCAGTAATGCAAGTTCACCAAGCACGAGTGGTGGAGTAGAATGCCCACGTTGTGGAAGGCATTACAAACTTAAAAGCTCATTACGAAATCATCAAAAATGGGAATGCGGAAAGGACCCACAATTCCAATGTCCATTTTGCAATTATAGAGCTAAACAAAAAATGCACGTTGCTCGGCATATTGAACGTATGCATAGAGAAAAATGCTCAGAAGAATTTCAGAATATTACTGGGCAAACTACAACAGCTGCAACAACGGCAACAGCTGTAGGAGATATTAACTCATAAGTACAAACTTTTTAATCAAACTAAAGTGCCGTAATGTTCACATATTGACTGGCCATATTGTTCAAGTCCGTGTAATGAAAATGGTATTTATATATGCGAATATCAAAATATTTTTTTTAGACCTTAGTCTTAAGTGTTAAAAGTGCCAATGAAGTATACAATTGTTTACATTGTGTACACAAATTATTTATTGTATCGTAGTAAATTAAGTTAAGAGTTAGGCGTATAACATCTGGCGATTTTAATTAGTCCAATTGACTTCAATAAGTAATAATTACTATTTACATTTCACTTATGATTTACACTAGATATCTCATTCCCAAATAATCTTTTTGCTACTATTTGATTTTTTTGTATATTAAATGCAAACACATATGATATATGTATTTGTGTATTTGTATTTAAACATAAACAAACACAATTTGTGTTGTATATAATAATTATACATTTTGAGAAATTAAAAATACTTATTTCCACTTTAGCCCTTAATGATAATATCATTTTTAAATTATTTAATAATAGTACTCCAACTGTGATATGATTCATTTTATTTGTTGGCCTAGTCGATATGTATGTTAGCTTGTTGGATTGTTAAAATCGCCATTAATTATGCTATTTATTTGAAATAAGTCATGTTTTGCAACGAATTGTTATTATGTACATAATTATATGTTATCCTAATTAGTGTCCTCGGCCAATCTCCACTAATGTATTTAAGAACATTCTATATGATAATGCCTACCGTAATATATATATATATTTATATATAAGTGTGATATATACTCGTATAATGTTAGTTGGACACAATTATACCAAAAATGAAACTGAAATCAATTTATAATCAAAAAATGTTGTATTGCACAATCAAATTATTTTTTAACCAACTTTAAAAAGTCTGATTTTAAGAATGTTTAAAATGTATTTTTGTATTGATCAATGTTGATTGCCAGTCGGCAGAAACCATGTGATAATCGTGCCTTTTTGTCTGTACTGTTTTATTTGCATTTATTTTGTTTGTTTTAGAAAAACATTTTTATTTTAGTTTAAGATGCTTAACAAATCTTTTTATTTATGTAATCTTCTATTTTCCCCCCCCAAAAAGTGGCATTTGATAAAATATTTCTTGTAGATTATTTAATATTTATTTTCAACTTCCATTTACTTGTTTTGCCATATTATATAAAAGAATTTTTTTTTTTATTCTAATGGAGATATTTTTATAACAAACATGTATAAAACTATTGTTAGTGTATAAACGATTATGATATATTTATTGTGTTAATAATACAAATTTAAAATCTTAGTCTATGCACATAAAATCAAATATTCGTAATGTGTCATACTAATTGTTAATAAGTATTATTTATTAGTTAAGCACTTCGTTTTTTTTTTATTTAGTTATTATTGAATTTAATATTTATTCAATCATTATTATCCTCATTAGATTATATAATTTCATTTTTGTTTCGTATTATTAATTCTTTTATTGTTTCCCTTTAAGCCCCCATATATTATCAGTATACTTCATTATTATCCCATGAGTATTTATGTTTACATCCATTGCTTTTTATTGTATTATTTTTATTAAAACAAAAAAAAAACATGAAATTTTTAACGAATTTATAAGTTTTTTTTTTTTAGTGTTGATATTAGTATTGTACTCATATTTAGGCAACCTTCTCTTCACCCCTTGCAAAAATACATGGTGTATCATTCATTGTTGCTTGCTCTGCTATGGGGTGTTTCAAAAGTTTGGTTTTTGTCATGTCCAAAGGGCGATATGTTTATTATCATATTTTTGTAAGTGTCAATGTACTAACTTGGGAATCCATTTATATAAATTTAAATTTCATTTTTGCTTTGGATTATATTATATATATATGAACATGCGCTTAGGTACCTGTAAGTACTGTCATCAAGTAAGTATTAATTTTATTTTATTACCCTTGAAATTATTGAAAAAATGTATTTAATTAATTATGTATACCTACTTAAATATACATAATAATATAATATTAATAGCAAGATTTTGGGTTGTTCGCGCATGCTTTTGTGGTTGCTCCTAATTAAAAAAATGTTTAAATATATTCGAGTTGTGCCTGCACTCTGGGTCACATTGGACTAACTAATCACGGGGCATAATACATTTATAAAAAAAAAAAAAAAATTGTTCGTGTATGATGTACCGCGTTTCTTATTCCCTAGTTTTTGGATTTTCGATGATTAGACGAAAAACGATTTTTCGTGTCGGTAATCTCTATTCCTCCTGTTGTGCGAATATTTTTTTCTTTCCAATTAGATTTAAATTACAGCACGTTTTGTTTAAAGTTACCATCGGTGTGAAGCACAGCTCGATCTATATTGTAGGCGTAATTGCAATTTATTATTTCCTACAGACTTCATGTTTGCCATCACCGGCACCACTCTCGATAACTCGACGACTGTGCGTTACGAGTGTCCGAAATGTAGCCGAACGTACAAATGGAGGAGCTCGCTTAAGAGTCACCTGCAAAACGAATGCGGCAAAGAACCCCGATGCTTGTGTCCTCATTGCCGTACAGGTGCAGGTTCGGTCCAACCTGTTAAAGCACGTGCGCAATTATCACAAACCTCCGACGTCTGTAGTACAAAACTCGGTGTTCGAAGACCCGAAAGTCGTACACCACCAACAATAGAAGAATGCTCAATTATTATTATTATTATTATTATATTACTATAATAAATAAATATATATATTTTTTTTTTTTTTTTATCGTTTTTGCGATCTTTTAGTGCCAAATTTTACTATTATGTTTTAAGTTTGTCTGATACTATATGATAATTTGATATTTTGTATGTATAATGTTTATTTTTTGTTATAGTCAACGAATATTACAAATTATCTACTTATTAATGAATAATCTATTTTTTGGAACTGAACTTAATGGTTACGTATATCGACAGATCTTACTTTTTTTTTATTATTGAGTGTTAATATGATTTTTAGAGTGTAGATTTTTAGTCTTTTTTTAAGCTATATACTGGGTTGTACAAACTATTTGACCATATTATATTATATTGGAGTTTAACTTAAGCTTTATACTCATTTATATGTTTTGATACTTACTTAAGCGTTGTTCAAAATATATGTACTATTCAAATATGTTATGTACTCAATAACTGATACAATTTCTATAGACATTTATAGAATACGGTACTCTATCAGTTATCCCCTATTTGCTCAATAAATCTTAAAAACACAATATTGAAAGGTAAGTATTTGTGTTACTAAATGTTTTGTTTTAGATATTTTTTGTGTTTTACTAGATGAGAAGTTTTTGTGTTCATTTTTAGTTGCGTTTTATTTATTATTTTTTTGTATACTTTTATTTTAGTCTAACCATCCGTAGTAAGTACGATTTTATTCCGACTGAATAGGCACGAGATTCAATACTCCATCACGTAAGTAATACATCGTATTATGACTACATATTTAAGTCTTCAGGGAAGATGTTTAATTGTTAGGTTAAAATAAAAAAATAATCGTATTTTCATCAAGCATATATTATGAAAATATAAATATCAAATAAAGTATTTTCAACTGTAGGAAGAGGTATAAATCACCATTTAATTAAAGTTTAACTATTCTATGCATAATATCCATAAAAAAAAATATATACAAATACCTGCAATATTCGTGAAATAAGTATTTATATAATACATCTACGTGTCAAACAGGGTCTAATATATATTTATGTTAAACTTCTAGATAGTATACTATTAATTTGATTTAAATGTAAGTGTACATATTCCCTACATTAAATAATGTGATTATTAAGCATAGGGATAGGGATAGGAGCTTTTCCCAATAATAAAATGATTTTAGGTGCACCTAACCATGGTTCTGTAATTTTTACTTATTAAATTAGGTTAAAGTCGTATTTTACATTACTATAAAATATAAATGTAAATATTATCAAGTTATTCCTTATAAAAACTTTAGAACGGAAAGTAATTTATTCACTTCTAACTTAAAATTAATTGTTTCTGCAGTCTTGCAAATGGACAACATACCAAATTTAAGTTCAGCCGTTCAAATTTTTGATATTGGAGTGAATTTGCTACTATAAAACTTAAAGATAATAAGTTATAATATTAAGTTGGCACCTATCTGTGTTATCTTATTGGTTTTTTTTCATTATTTTAATGAGTACGTATGTACAATATTAAAATTTAAAAATGTTCAATACATTAATTTACATTTAAGCTGACAACATAAAATTGGAAATGCTGAACGTACCTAAATGTTGCTATGTTACTCATTATACAACACATGGGCAGGTACTAGGACGTCTTTTTAAATCGTCTTATTTACGACGTTTCAATTTATTTCGAGTGTAAAAAAACTGATCCGTAGATGTTTTACCCACTCTCCCTTATTTTAACCTCAAAACACAATATAATGTACGTAATGTTTGGAGGGCGTAAATTAAATATTGAAAATGTGCATAGCCCCTCCGAGTGTAAAATCCCCCCCCTCAGTGACGCAACTAGGGCTGCAATTTTGGGGCCCCCACATCCCCATATATTATGTTCATTCAAAAAAAATAAAAAATCATACAAACCAAATCAATTATTTATTTACTCCAGTATTTAACTATACCTTGTTTTTTAATATTTATATTATAATTTTCTAAAACATTAACTAAAATATTTTTTGTTTAGTACCTTTATATTATATGTTTTAATATATCCCTAAATAAAATATTACGTTTCCTAATAATATTTTAACGATTTGTAAATAATAATAATTATTATTAGAAGTAGATTTTACAAGTTTTACTTAATATAGGTAGATACCTACAATAGTTAAAAGATTATAAAATAAAAATATTTCGAATAATCGATACATCAAATAAAACAAACAGTAAGTTAATGAATGTAGGTACCTAATCAGTAATCTTTTAAAAGAACTATTAACACATGTTGTTTCACATCGTGATATAAAACAAAACAATACTAGGTATTGTTAATTTTTGCATATTATTTATTATATATTAACCTATATTATATAAGTATAATAATATATTTGTAATTAAATATTAGTAATGTAATAATTACACTAATTATGTTTTAAAAACGCCATGTGGTTGTCAGTAACATTGTAGTCTGGGGGTTATTTTTCCTAGGGTCTTGGATTTTTCTTCAGGGGATTTTTATTCCGCTATTACCTATCTCTATGTATTATATAGTTCAGTGCATAGGTATACTGTAAAATTATGTGTAATAATCTTACCAAATACAAAATAATCTATATAAAAAATAAGCTATTACAAGTTTTGGTGGGGCTCAGAAATCTAACTCCTCCCCACTAGTTGCGCTTATGCACCCCTCCTATAAATTGTACCTATAGATACCTAAATGAACAGTAAACCAGTGTTATAGATTGACAGTTGAAACTATAAAAAGTTTATTTGTAGGTCACCTATTGGTAAGTACCTATACTATTTTAACAAATAAACAAAAAACAAAGATTTCCTATGATATAGACAGTATATTAGTATCTGTTGACTAGTTCACTTTTTAAAAATGTTATATGTTATATAATATATTAAAAATGTAATTATCAATGTAGATAATAGCTGATTTATACAATAACTATGGCTATAGTAGGTACCTATACCTCCTTATCAATGTTAAAAAATAGTTATAATTTTTATTAAATATTAAAAATAATTAAATCACAATCCATAATAGTATTTCATGTTAAAATATTGAACCTTAAGGATAAATTTAGCTTATATTTATCTTAAGACAATAAATCGAAAGAATAATTACGTGTATAGGGCATAATAAATAATTACTCATCATCATTTTATTTATATTTATATAGTTGGTTTGAACCCGATGGAATATGGACTCAATTAATCATTATATATATATTATATGTATTTAGTATCCTATTGATGTTTATTATAAACAATTAATTTAGTAAGTTTATTCTAGCGATACCTATCATTCAGGTGTAAATATTTGTGTTCATGTGAATAATATGTGATTTAATATAAATAAAGGTGGGACAAATCGTACATTGGTACCATACGTTAAACAATTAAAGCCATAAAAAAAAATTTATGTTACGTTTCTTGCTTCTATTATATTTTGTAGTAAATAATTTAAAACGATTGCAGTATTAACACATATTTTATATTACAATAAATTATTGTATTTCAAAAAATGATATGTTCTATTACTTCGATTTACTATCTTTGAATTATCGTATCAATTATATTATTTTCTATACAAATTTATTTTTTGAAATCAATAAATTGTTGATTTATATAATATTTCATTTAATATCTCTTATTGTTCTAAGATTTCTATACACCCAATACACATCTTCTAATAATATATACCTACGGGATACAAGTCTAGCGATCTATCTTCAATTATTTCGACTTGATAAGAAACTTATTATTTAATAATTACCTATTTATAACTATTTAATCTCATGTATCTAGAACAATGACTAACAAACGCTAGTTAGTTAATATAATTATTATGTACTTAATTGGAATATGTAATTCTATTAGAGCCATCTGCGCTAAATTTGAAATTATTGAAATATTGGCAAGGATAAGGTTTTACCGGATGGTAACCTGGAAATTCAATGTTTGAATTGATTGGTTTTGTAGTGGTGGGGGGGTATGAATAGAACGACTATAGTACTCCACGTCGCTTCCGTTTGAAGGAGACATTCTTAGTTATGCGCCGGAGACGGTAATGTCGGAAAAACCAGAAATTTATTGGTGTAGGTGATTGCATAAAGTCATATCCTTATTTTTTTTTTACAGACAAACTTAAAATCGAAACTAAATAAGACACATATGAGTGGCCGTTGGGTTAATCGTTTTATCGTAGTTTAGTATAAATGTTCATGTCATTATTACGATAATAGGTATCGTTTTTAAAAATATAATATCATATGTGCCACTCGTAATATTATGTACGGCCATACCTATCTGTAATAACACTATTAAGTTTGGCCGTTGGCCACGATATTATGACGTGTGAGATTTACCTGGCGTACCGATGGTTTCAGATTCAGACCTGCTGGCCGAGAAGTTCGAGTGTAAGCTCTGCGGCAAGGTGTACCAGTGGAAGCAGAGCTTAAAGAGACACATCCGGGAGGACCGCTGCGACAAGGGTCCGCAACACGCGTGTCCCCGGTGCGGCATGAGCTTCAAGCACACCAGCCGCCTGAACAAGCACGTCATCCTGTGTCCGCACATCCTGTTCGACGAGAGCCCTTCGTCCTCGGCGTCCACGCCGTCCACGTCCACCGTGCAGCGCATACTCAAACTGCCGCAGCCGTGCCCGGACGCGTTGCCCATCACCGCCGTGACCACGTCCACCACCGCGACGTCGTCGCCCTCTCAGACGATACTGGTGTTGCACCTGAAAAACCAGAGTTTGGCCCAAAACTGGAATTCTAAAATCCAGAAACTGGGAAACTAGAACAAAAACGCGTATTTCGTATTTAAATATCCATTCATGTGCGCGTGCGCGTTTGTGTGAGTGTGTGTGTGTGTGTGTGGCCCGTCAAATTTGTGTATATTTAATTCAAAACGTTTTTGTTTTTTTTTAAATTTTTTGACTTTGTCCGTATATATCTAATGTTATTGACCACACCGATTGTAATAATGTCACAGGTCTTATACTTACATCTAAAGGCGCGTATTATTATTATTATTTATATAACGAAGTGCACCTATATTATAAGATATTTTATTATGAGGGGGTGAACTCGCTTAGGGGTATAAAAACAACAACAACAAAAACCTATTTATACCGTACGCAGCATACTATTATTAAATAGAACAGTTATTATTATAATATAATTATGTATTATTTTTGCTAGTCAAATATGGAACAACGCAATCTAGTCGATTTTTTTTTTATTCGTTTTTCGTGCAATTTATTCGTGCAAAGAAAATCATATGTTTTATTTTTTTTTTTTATTCGTAGTGTGTGTTAAATGAATACTGGTTTTTTATTTTTATTTTACTTAGTTTTATCGTATTCGGGTACTCGGGTTATTGTACCGCGAAATGTTTATAATATAGACGTCGAAAACATTATAGTCATTAGATAATAAGATTGAATGTAAGACTAAAGTTCTCTCCTATCAACAAAATAATATACGGTGAAGAGATATCTTTCTATTTATATCAATATTTTTATTTATACTTTCGTCTGATTTGAAATGTATCTAGTCAAAAATAATTATTTACTTTAATTTTACATTAATTATATTCGTGTACATAATAATATTATATTATATAATTCATTTTTTTTTCTCAAAAAAATACATCAAAACATTTGCCAAACGTATAAACATATTTTATTGATAGTTGAAACTTTAAACCATAACTGTAGGTATAGTCAACAATTGAACAATATTGTATCAGACATAATATTATATAAAGTGACGTGAGGATAACACATTATTATTACAATATTGTTGAAGGGTTCGTACAGCACAATATATTTTAACTTAGTTGGTTCGATTAAATGCGTTCATTTGCATAAATGTTACCAAACATGCCGAGTGAATTTGGATCATAATATTGTCATTGGATCTAATAGGTATATATTATACCAAAGTCAGACACGAATTTACTTTTTAAGATAACTGTCACATAAATGTAAATTGTAAATTGTATTTTGGATTTTTGTTTTTCTATTCTAATTTCAAAAAACGCACAAAACACAAATATTATGTACTGTGGACAAATTATGATTATTTTAGGGTTAATGATTTTAAGTTTAATCAACAATATTTTGTGTGCCGTGTGAGAATACGATCAATACGTTTTTTTAACAACGATTCTTTCAATTTTTTCTGATATAAACATTTTTTTAACAATTGTAGGTAATATTCGGGTAGTGCAAATAAAATTGTTCTTGTATCATCGTGTTCAGTTGAACATCGTGTCAGTAGCGTATCTAGGATTTTTTCACGGGGGGAGAGATATAAAAAATTGTTAATAGACATATTCAGTAATCAGTACACATATTCCACATATATTCATATTATTAATTACATGTTGTTGTATTGTGTACAAAATTTGGTCTCCTGGGGGATATGCGCCCCTGTCACAGATACGCCACTGCCTCGTGTTCATAAATAGGAATTGGTTCGGATCTGGGGGAGGGGGGGGGGTACAATAAAGGCCCACAATAACGATAAATTTCCAACAAACTCTGAGAAAATGCCGTGTGCGTCGATCATAATAAACATGATAATATATAATGTAGTCGAAGCAATATATTTTATTAAATTAATATAATATGTAAATTGAAAAATCAAAACTCCGTGACAAATGTGTAGGTAGGTAGGTACCATATACCGCAATTATATTCTGTAGTGGTTTTCGGGTCGATCGTCCAAGTGGGTGGCCCACTTGTATCGGGCCGAACACTTTCGGCGTTTGTGCCAAATAAAACGAGACGTTTGCACCCCTAAATAGACTTATTTGTAGGTACTGTGTGTACGCCACCGGGTGGGTATTGAGGGTTTTGTAACGAGTGTTGAAAACGTGGCCAACTCATTTCCAAACTCAATCCTGCACTTTGTCTCGACCATTCGTCGTCGTTTTCTGACGGAAAAATAAAAACACCCCCCTCCCCCCCACTGATATTTCTATAACATTTTTATTTTTACTTTATTGAAAATGGCTACAACAATATAATATTATATAATATTTTGTAACAGAATCGATACTCAATAAATTTGTATGCGACATGATGCGTATATGTGACACACGACTGTATTGTAATATGACAATTTTTTTATGTTAAGGATTTCTTTTGTTTTTTTCAACTAACTCACATTATGGATAAAGTATAATAGTAATTTGTATGTATTTGTGTTTATTTTTTTTTTTTGTTTTTTTTTTTTTTAATTATTATTTAGTGCAATGAAATTGAGTTCCTTGATTCGTCATGACCTCTATATAGAAATTACAAAAATAAAAACTACTTATATAATATTATGTAAGTGTAATACCTCTACTTAACGTGGCGGTCCATGAATCTAGTCAGGTATGAGCACAAAATTAATATTATTACTCGTGTATTATTACAATGTATATGATGTGTATTTATAAAAATTATATATGAATGATTAACAAGTTTCCTTATTTCATTTTGTTTATCTAGTCCATTTTTTCGCTTAATCATAATTATATTGTCATCGATACTTATAGTATAATATCAATTAAATTATAAAAGTATTATTATATAATATACAATATATTTTTCGTGTGCCGTTCATGTTCCGTTGGATACGCCATTATTTTATTATAATTATATTATATCTATATTATGTGTACATATATAATATTCGATTATCAATTTTTTGCAATCGTAATAACGCGCATAATATAATATATATTCATACATATATGTGTGTTTTATATTATATTGACAAATATAAAACCAAACTACATAATATATATATGTGTAAAATATGTAATTATATTCTGATCGACCAATACCAAATAATAAGTTCGCATGTTCTACCAATCTACCTAATTGAATTTTGCGCCCTGTATAGGTATTGTATATAGGACTATATAGTATTGATTTTTAAACTCAGGTACCTTATATTATTAAAAATGTAACAATCAATATTAATAATATTATATAATGTGTTGAAAAGAGATAGGTGTAGTCGATCGGTACCTACGAATTATTCCGAGCAGGTTATCCTCATTTTGGTAAAGTTTAATAGACATACGGATCAAAGGAATCGCCGAATCTTCGTCAACAGGGGGGGGGGAATATATTTTCATAACTAAAATATTATTATGTAGGTACCTACCTATACTCTGAACAGAAGTATAATATATTCGGTTTTATTCCGGGAGTTGTACTGTATCATATTCGGTCGACCTAACCTATATTATACTTAACTCACATACTATACATTGACTTGTCAATATAAAATTCATATTATTATTAAAATGTGATTTTTCGAGGTGAAGACGCTGTCGTTTGTACATCGTTATTTATTAAAATATGGATATATATGTATAGACAATGCCGGGGCAATTGACATGACGCGAAGACAAAACCAGCGTAGGTATATAATATGTACAACGAGAAAATTAATTTTCAACCATTTCGTTGTGGAAAATTATCGATTGTAAATTATAATATAAATGATATATTTGGCGAGGGACGCGCACTAGACGTCACGAAAACTTGCGCCACGGGGAAGCTACGAAAAACCATCGGTCGTTTATCACAGCCCTGGCTTGTTCCGTCTTTTATATTACAATACTAACGCTTCTCTTCGGTTGGATATGAGTATATGACTACAATGAAATACATAATTTCGGTGGACTCGACGCACAAGACCAGACAATGTTTATATACCCGACTCTAATCGCCACCGTGTTTTGTTTCAGGGCTTTTGCAACACATTTGGATTTCCAAATGTCCATACTGCCGGATGGTAATCTGTACGGAGTTGGAAAACCATTTGGGTTCGTGCAGCGTGTTCGGCACGCTTAAGACATACGTGGCGGCCAGGAGGACACGACCTTGAATCACGCCCGCAGTCTTCTATATATACAATATTATTATATGTACAGTGAAACCTCGCCCGACGGACACCTCCGAATAGCGGACGTTTTTTTTTTTTTTGGCAACAAACTGCTGTATACCCTCCGAAGAGTGGACAAGATTTCAGTCACCGAGAGTGTCCGGTATTTCGAGGTTTCGCTGTATAGAATATAACCTATTATGCTTCAGTATGATATAATTGTACTGTTCCTCCGGTACATGTCATACACTCATACCTATACATACTTGCCGCCGGGTTGAGGGTTGCACTGAAATGTACCATTAGGAGAATTTACCTTCAGCTGTTGTTTGTTTTGCCAGCTATATGCGAATACATCATTAGGCAGGTAGATATGATATGCAATACATAATATAATTATGTGACGAGATTATATACATATTATATGGGTAGGTGCCTATATTTATTTCTAATAGGTAGACATAATATTATGCTCCACACTTTGATATAATTAGATAATAAGTAAAAGTGTGTGGTGTCGCAGCTGCAGTTCTTGAATAGTTGCTAACTGGTGCAGGTGGGTAAATTATTATTATTGTTATTATTATTATTATTACGTTTTTTTGTGTATTTTGTCGCTTTTTTTTTAACGATACCTTTGTAGGTACGTACATTTTATTGTTCGGAGTTTTTTTATTATTATATTGTTGTTGAGATCATATTATTAAAATGTTATATTATTTTTTGCTTAATCCTCAATTTCTATTTTCTCGTTGGTTTAAGTCACCGTCACCATACCATACCTACCTTTATATTTTAGTATTTTGCTTCCATGGCTCTCCATCTCTCTTCTGTATAGTCTTAACTCTGTACCGCATAAATATTATACAATACAATTTAATCATATTACATGATATTATAATAATGGCCTGCGGCTGGCGCGGTGTCAGGCGTATTATAATTTAATTTCGGTTTTTTTTTTTACAGACGATAAGTATTGGTCGTGCAAAACGTGCAGTAAATGGTACAAGCACAGAGATTCCTTGCGTCGACATATCAGAGACGAGTGCGGAAAAATGCCCCGTCACCAGTGCAACGTTTGCCAGGCGTACTTTTACCATAGGCACAACTTGAAGACCCATTCTATAAGCAAACATCACATTTTGATTTGAACTCGTTGTGATTTTATCCATAAAATGTATTATGCTCGAAACCTTATAATAATAATATGTTCTTGATTTATGCTATTGAAACTACCACCGCCCACATTATGCATACCCAATACACTAATATCCATCATATTCATAGGCGGAAATCAATTATATGTACAATTTCAGGGGGGGATGAGGGGCTCTAATATTTTTAACATAAATGTAAGCGGAGGGTTTCGAAAGTTTCGATACCACTAAAAATATGTCTTTTTTTGTGGGTTAATGCCTTAATGGGATATTAATTGGGGGGGGGGGTTAATATTTTCGTCTATGTACCTACTATCATGTATGTATCACAATATTGTAAGATTATGTACTACTACTACGAGTTTACTCGTATATTATATTGTTTGCAAACCGTGTAATATACATTATACCATTTACGTGTTATATTTTAATATTAATATTTAATTACCTATAATATACCTATCTTGAGTTATGGAGTGTGGCGAGGCTGCTGTCTTCAGTGTCTACCTAAATAATATATTAATATCGCATCTGCACTCTGAAGTTTACAATATATTATATTATATAGTATATACCCATTTATTCCAATTATTAAACTAAAAAGTTTCCTTGTAAACGCAATTTATAGTATAGGTACTTGTCAAAAAACAATAAAAAAGATAAAAATTTACTAATTTTTACCTACTGATTACTACTAAAGACTATACAATATTATATTATATATTATTACGTCCAATATTCAATAAGGTGATCCCAATAATTATTTGCTAACTATAGATATATGTAAATAGAGGCTAGGTATAATACAATATTATATTAAACATATTACATTTTGTGTACCTACCTCTCGATTGCGTTGCTTTTATTTACGTGACTATAGTGTGCAGTCGCCGCTATCTTTATTCTATTATATTATGAAAATAGTTAGCGTTGCATGTGAGCTGCTGCGAACACACACACACACACTTACACAATACACTGGATCCAAACTGCCCGGTCTTGGTGCTAATAATTTGTATATTTTCGTTTGTTTTTCTGTTGTTGTCTTTTGTCTTCCCGCCGTCCGTCTTCAGGTGACCCGTACGCCAATCGCGGACGCAACCTGCACCCAACGTCCACCAGAATCCAACACCACCACCTGCCAATCAATCATCACCAGCGCTCCATGTACGCCTGCGCTCGGTGCGGCAACTCGTACGCGCGACTTCACAGCCTCAGCCGGCACGTCCGGTTCGAGTGTGGCGTCGATCCGAAGTTCGAGTGTCCCGTGTGCCACAAAAAGTCCAAGCACAAACACAACCTGTTGTTGCACATGAAGACCCACGTCAAGCGAAACGATCCGTGAAAAAACCACCTGTCGTGTGCCCTAGGTCCCCCCCCATCGTAATATATTATTGTTGGTACGTATCGTCGTCGTCCGCGGTAGTAAATATAATATTGTGTAATATATAGCAACGGCGTGCAAAGGCTTTGAATTAATATTTTCTCTAGTCAATATATAATATGTATAACACAATATGTATGTAAATTGTACTTGGAACTTATTTTAAGGACTATAATAAATATATATATAATATTGACTTATGGTACCTCCTAATACTGTTTATAAACGTTTGCGATTTCACATTTGTAACACTAACCAGATTTTTTTTACAAGAAATCAACATTTGTGACTGTTTATTTTTTAAGATGATTAAAAACAATTTTACATATTATTTGTTCATTTTTTTTTTTTTATATATATTCACTTTCCTATAAACTAACAAATTTGGTTAATATTGTGATATAATATTAAACTTAACATGTTTTATGTTCATAATATTTGTTAATGTATCATTTATACATTATACTAATATTCAATTTCCTGTGTCAGAAATGTTCAGTTCTTTGTTCTTATGAAAAAAAATTCTTTCTTATTTATAAAAATAATTATTTCCTGTAAAATGTAATTGGTCTAGAAATCTGTTCCTATTCAACTTTGTGCTGCTATTATAATACTTATGCTTTTAACCACTCTATATATTACGAGGTATATTATTATAATAATGTAGTAATGTTGACAACCATTATTACAATCGTCTAGATATATCGGACTACTTGGATGAACAATTATTCATGAACCTCAGGCTAGACGAAAAGCACACATGCCCAGACTGTTTGGATACATTTGGCGATCAACTCTCGCTCGTGCATCACAGAACAGTTGTGTGTGGTCTGGACCTCATGTATGAATGCATTAAATGCAACCGTCGGTTCAAATACAACCACAATCTAAAGGCTCATGGTACTACGTGTTTGAAACAGAAAAAAACACACAAGAAAAACTTACACCACGATACAAGAGATCTTTAGTTCTAGTTTTATATTAAATAATTATATAAATTTTTTTACAGACATAATAATTTCTTTTTTTTTTAATTATTTAACATGTAAAGCCAAAAAAAAAAAAAAAACACTAATGTTACGTAATCATGTATTGCGACAAGTTTCAAAACAAAAAAATTGTGGTTTTACTAGAATATTGTAACTTATAAATCTGGTCGTACTTTAAATCCAGGACCATAGGGTTCTTCTTTCAATGATGTTAATCCATCCATTGGCTCTGATGCATACCGACTAGATCTATATAGAATTGGAAAATAATATGATTATTAAGTGCTTTCTTTAGGAGACTGCAAGAATTACCTGGGTCCTGGAGTAGGAGTTTTACCATTCTTCAAGTCATCAATTATAGATTCAACATCCTTTGTAGTCAAATCTTCCTACAAATTCGTACATATAAATTACTAATTAAATATTGCATCATTAATAGTCATTTAGGGATTAATAATTTATATGGACAAACTGGGATTTACTTTGAAAACAATTAAATATTATTTTATTATAAATTAGCTATTGATTTAAATTTTAAACAATGTTTAAAAAATTTTAGAATTGAAAAATATTTATCTAGAACGCAGGATTGGAACGTATAAAACTACTTAGTTGTATACATTTTATTAGTTATAAGGTTTTTTTTTTATCAGGTATAGTTCACCAAGTTTATGTGATATGTTGATTTGTTTTTTACGTGTATGTTACCAACCCTGGTAAAACGGCATGCTATATTATTATCCAGGTTAACTTACAAAATAATCATCGTTGACTTGCATCATTGGAGCATTGACGCATGCACCCAAACATTCTACTTCAGACAATGTCCATTGGCCATCCTTGCTAGTTTCTCCTACACCAATATCTAATTTTTTCTTTAAACATGACATGACGTCATCTGATCCTCGCAACCAGCAAGGAGTTGTTGTGCATACCTGCAAGTGATACTTGCCAGTCGGTTTTCGCATAAACATTGTGTAAAAAGTGGCGACTTCATACACCCTCATTTTAGGTAAGTCTAATACATCAGCGACCTTGTGCATAGCTGATATAGGTAACCAACCATGTTGTCTTTGAGCTAAATCCAACAGTGGTATCATAGCTGCTCGCTTATGACCTTCTGGGTATATTGCTAATATGGCATCAATTCTCTATTTAACAAATCAAACAAATTAGATTTGTGTCAAGGGTGAGTATATTGAGTACACAAAACAAGGATGAAAATAATTACTTTTTTGTTTTCATCGCTGAACTCAAATTTGATATCCAGATTATCCTCCTTTGTATCCCTATGCTGAAAATATATAACCATAGATAATTAAATATATTTGACTAATAGAGAATAACACCAATACAAGTTTAAATTAATATTGTATTTAATTGTAGCTAGATCTTAGATTGTACCTCATCATTTAATATTATAAGTTTATAAAATCATTAATAGTACTAGTCGAGGTTTAAATTTATATTTGTTAATCGAGGTCAATAAAAAAGTAATTGTTTTATGTTTAATTAGGGATATTTATTAAATAGTTATTGTAATGCAATGTGCAATAATTTACATCTGATTAACTGAATTCAATCATGGATAATAACAATATTGATACATTCAAAAATCTGGACAAGTCACACAATAGAGAGGTACGTTCATCTTACTAATTATAACTTGTACGTTTTTCATAAAAACTTATTTACCAACACAATCCTTATAATTGGGTGTACTGTAGTTATAAAATATTCAACATTAAGTACATTTTAAGAAGTTAAATAATACATTTAGGCAATTTCTATGAAGAAAAAAAAATTCTAACTGAATAACTTCTAGATGTTTCTAAATTTGTAACAAAATGTGACTCTAATGGTTCCACGAATAATTGTATTTAATGTATTTTATGACCATAATTTATGCTTAAAGAGTATTATAAGTTATCCAACAATATGGTATGGACTCCACGATCTTTTAATAGATTTTATATAAAATTAAATTAGTCTTGTAATATAATATAGTATACAGTATAATTCTGATACCTGATATAGTAGCAATATGAAGAACTACAGGAGGGCTCTATATTTAGGAATTCACGACAAATAATAAAATAAGATTTAGGAAAAGTATTAAATACCCAAAAATATTGAACTTCTAATTTGTATTACAAGTATACTAAAATGTTGTTCACATGGATTGCAAGAAACGAAAATGTGAGTATCACAACTAGGTACCAAAGTAACCTATTAGAAATATCAGTTTTGGACTTTCTAAATACAGATTTTCCCAAGCCAAATGACGTTAGTAATCGAAAAAGTCGTCGACAAACTCCTAAGTAATTTAATGGTTAGGCAAATAAAAACATAAAATTATGCTCACATTGAACATTGTGTCATGTTTGAGGACTGCAGACGTCTGGAAGGTTCTTGAATTTGACAACTACAAATAATGAACAAAATATACATTAACTTTTACCTAAAGGTAAGATGGTACTAACGACATAAAGAAACGTAGATAAGTACTTACGAGACATTTTGCAATTTTGTTCAGAGACAACATTTTTGGTGAATTTTTAACTAATAAAACGGTTTTAATGACCGGAAAATTATTTTTCTGAATGATACAGGTAAAGGACTAAAATCACTAAGCACAAAAAAATGTCTTATCACGTGCAATTTGTTTCTTTTTCATGTCAGCTGTTTATTTTGGTTTGATAAAAGATAACGAGTTATCATGATTCGCTAGAACAATGAAATGGGGACTATATTCCCATAATAGTTAAATTGTTTTGAATTAATTGAATTACTTCTGAAGTTCCGAATTTATTTTTTTTGTACCATGTAGACAGTTTAAAATAATTAAATTTAATAAACATTTTTGATAAACGAAATTAAATTATGGATTCCAGTGGAAAATTAGAAAAGGTAAAAAAGAAATTTCCTTAATAAAAAAAAAAGATAAATTATAAATTGTAACAAATAGGTACATAGTTTAATAATAATTTAATGAATAGTGAAACAGCTTATGGTATCCTGTGAAATATCCTCTTATCGAATTGTGTGAGAAAACTTAAAACAATTAGATAAATTATTAATAATTTTACAACTTTTGAAATGTATTAAATATTGTTGTAGGTTTACTACAAAAAAAACTACTAAGGCAATAAAGTAGTATGCTATTATGCTACTATTTTATGTTTATATAACTTGTTTCAAATAATTGTAAATAATGAAGTATGTATATTATTAATTCGTTATTAGGAGCGGCAGAATTTAGAAGCATTTAAAGAACAGGTACAACGTAATAACCAACTATCAGATAAAATGGTCGATATCCTAACGTCGTTTGAAAATAGACTTGGTAGACTTCAACAAACTATACTGCCGATTTATAATGAAATGGAGAATCTACAGTTAAAAAAGACAAGTATGATCGGAGCTTAGTAATTTGTTTGCTAAACAACTAATAAAGTAATAATTATTAATTTATAAACATTTGTTTTAATTTTAGACATTGAAAAAACAATGTTTGCATTGGACAGAGTAATAATGTTCCATGATGTGTGTCCAAGAGTTGAATCGATTATTTTAGGAAGACCAAATGGGTCAGATGGTTTGAATGAGTACTTGGATGCCATGGAAAAACTACGTGAGGCACAAAACTATTTTGAAAAGAATAATCCTCAAAGTGTTGAACTAGAAAATGTGGTATGTTAAATTATTAAATTAAATTTTTTATTTATTTTTAACATGATTTAATATGTTTTATTTGTTATACTTTAGTCGTCACTGTTTAAGACTGGAGGAGATAGTATCCAGAGAGAGTTTAAAGAGATCCTTTTGAAGCATAGTAGACATGTTCAACCAGCAATTTTGATCGATATTTCTACGAATGATGATGGTTAGTAAATTTACAATTAGTAAACTAGTTACCACATTTCATCACTGCACTTAGTAGGTATATTGAAATTTTTTTTTTTTATTGTTTCCATAGAGTTGGTAACTGATGATTCATCTTCTGTGAGTTCTATTAGCCATTTCTCTGAAATTGTTTCCTCGGATCTAATTCGTTTAGCAGATTGGTTAATCAGTCAATCTCGAGACGAATACATGAATGTGTATGCTAGAGTACGAGCTAACACTCTCACCAAATCAATGACTACTCTTAAAGAATACCAGAAAACTGGAAGTGCTGGAAGCACTAATATGGCCATTGGGCAGACTATGGGTTCACCTTCAGTAGTATGTTTCTAATAAACCGTGTTAAAATATGATTATTTACTGATGAATTAACATATTTTTTCTACTTTAGAAGTCCAAATTTCCCCATAGATCTGAAGTTACTGTCACTAGAAAAACTTCTAAACGTATCCAGCACGTGTAAGTTAATCTGTATTCAAAATGTATTTCAGGTTCATAAGTTTTATTGTTCTAGATTCGAGAAAAAAGCTAATCGTATGTTTTTGAAAGCATCTCAAACATTAGGACAGTCGACCGGTTTGAATTTGGGGAACAGGAGACCTACACTTATAGGTAATTAATAATTATTATTGTGTGATTTTGTCTAATTCTATCAATACCTATTGATATCAAAAATAATCTGTTCAGAAAACCGCGAAGACATTGTTGATGAACAAGAAATGGAAAATTATCTTATTTCTGTAATTGCTCTGCAAAAACTCATGCAAGCAGAACTGTCACTGATGGTTGGTATAATACCAATCAAACATCACCATCAAGTATTCCAAATCATTATTCAAGAAAGCCTCGCTAATATTGTTCACGAAGGAGAGGTATTATATTGATGTTGATATTATTTTTTTATAACGTTCACTTTTAACCATATTACAAAACAAAGTGATACTATTGTGCTTCTACAAATGCACAAATATTGTATTATCTTCGGAATATTGCTGGTCGTTCTTCAGAATAATTAATAATGTACGTAAAATAATATATTGATTGCAGAGCATAGCTACCAGAGCAAAAAGATGTATTCATAGAAAAGAATTTGCCAATTTGTTTGTAATGTTTCCAATTTTAAAACATTTGGCTGCCATGAAGTCTGAATTTGAACGTACAATGGAAGGCTGTGATCCCACCATTAGAGGTCAATATTCAATTATACTCAATACACTTCACTCCACGGTTAGTAATCCTCTTTCCTCGTTTTCTCTTATTTTATGATAACCTATAACAATATTATTTTTCTTAATTAGGGTGTTAGAACACTAGAAGAAATAGTTGAAAGTGTGAGAACTGACAATTCTATGGGGTTGCCGCGAGATGGCACAGTTTATCAATTAACTAGCGATGTGCTTGTGTTGATGGAACAACTTCTTGACTATATAGACAGTGTGGGTCCTCTTTTAGCTCAAGTGCCATTATATAACAACATGGTATCACATCATGTCACTGCACCGGAAAAATACAAGTATCTTTTAGGACTTTATATCAGTAAGTGAATACTGGTTATACTTATACATCCAAGAAATGTTCAGTCCTTAAAACTATTACATTTTGACAGAGAAAGTGTTGTCTCAGTTGAACCTAATGCTTGTGAATCGTAGTGACTCCTACAGCGAACCAGGTGTCAAATATTTGTTTCGTTTGAACAATTGTCACTATGTAGTCAAATCATTACAGAGGTCAGCTCTATTAGATATAGTTTCTTTGACTGAACCTGAATGTGAAAATACCTACGATGAGATGATTGCGTCACATAAAAAGTCTTATCAACAATGGTAAAAATATTTATTAATCTTTATATATTTATTATTTGATTAATAATTGTATTCTCAATTTCAGTTGGAATAGAATACTAGGTTTCATAGTTAATTTGGATGATGTTCAAGTTGTAAATGGCAGACTCAAGGATAAGGACCGTAATATAATCAAAGAGAGATTTTCTGTAAGTTCTTCAATCCTTTCTTAAAAATGATATAATGCTGGATACTTAGAAATTATATTAATGTTAATTTGCATGCATTTTGTTTCTACCAAATAAATCTGTTATGACCATTATTACTTTCTTTTTTTTTCAGTGTGTTATGTGTATTTTTTTAATTTTGTATTGATGAAAATGTTACACTAGTTACTTAAGACTTAAAAGGACAACATACCCGAGTATGTTGACTCTGTCTTACAAATGTACAACATACCAAAAACTATTGCTCGTAAAAGAACCAAGTAGGTTACAGTCATAACTAAGAAACAAAATTACTACCACATAAAAAGAAGAAACTTTTTCGTATAAGTGAAATCAAAAAAATAAAAACGATATTGCATAGCCAAATGTCTCCTTTTAATGGAGTGAAAACTTTGTTTCTTAGTTTATGACTGTAGCTTCCTTGGTTTTTAACCTTGTAAAAGAGTTTTTGCTTTGTTGGGCATTTGTAAGACGGAGACAACACATGCAGGTGTGCACACATCACATTTTATAGCATTTTTATGAACATTGTGATGTTTTCACTTTATAAAACTGGTATTATTAATATTAAATCTATATTGTTTTGTTATGATTTTTATAGGGTTTTAATAAAGAAATTGAAGAAGTACTCAAGCTTCAAAGAGGTTATACAATACCTGATGTTGAATTACGAGAAGGGTTGAAACGTGATAATAAGGAATTTGTTTTACCAAAATACAGTGCATTTTATGACAAGTAATACATTGTATTATGCAATTATATTTACTTTTTAAAAGTTTATTGAAACAAAATTTATTGAGCACCTAAGTTATAGAAACGTACATTTACAGATTTTCTCAGTCGTCGTTTACCAAAAACCCAGAAAAATATGTCAAGTACACTCCAGCTCAAGTGTCTGCTATGCTCGATCGATTCTTTGATGTTGCTGCTTAAACCTCAGTAACCAATATAGTATTATTTTAAATACATGTTTTTTTATCATGTTCTAATCATTCTTTATTATTATTATTGTTATTTATTTATTTAGACACATATTCATTACAAATTAATAACTTTATTTTTCAACCTCCACCTTTTTTATTCGACTGTAACATCAAGTAATAAGTATTAATCATACATTTATTAAATATATTGAACAATTTTATTATTATAGAAATATTTAATAGCAGACTGATCAAATTGTCGAAATGTTCATTTACAGTGATACTCTCTAAAGGATTAATATATTATATTTTTTCAATACTAATGAAAATGATGTACCTTATCCCTATTAAATTGTGATTGTTATTACTTATTTATATAATAAAAATTCATATTTTTTTATAGTAATTAAAAATACTAATAATTATTTGTATGGATACCTACATGAACTACATTTCTAAAAATGTTTAATCCAAGATCCTATTTTTACAATATACAAACTTAAACATAAAATGTACCAATCTCATAGAAAAGTGTACAAAGTTGTCCAAAGTGTAAGTATTTACATTTTAAAGCATTGAAAAATTATGTTACATTGCATTGAAATCCTATTTTCTACTCTATTTCCATCTTAAATCAAACAATAAAAATATCTTTTGAAAACATATTTGTGCAATATTCATCATGAATATAATAATTCTGGACTTTAAAATCAACCATGTTTTATGTGCCAAAAAATAAAAATTTCAGGCAACAAAACCATATTTTTGGAATTTTTCTTTTTATAATTTTGTGACTTCTTATGGATGGTATAATTGCATAATATATTTTTTAGCATATTTTAATACTATTCAAATGCAGCATCCACCAAAATTTGAATTTACTCCTAACTTTTAATTTTGCATATAATTTTCTATATCAACACGATGGATCAAAAAAAATGGGTTGACCTTGATACATATTAAATAATTCTTAATATTATCCAATTATAGATTATACATCGTTATATGACCTACTTTTATGATCTTGGATGTTATGAAAACTCATGTCAGCTCTTTACATGTTACTAATTAATAATTATTTTTTTATTTTAAGTACATATAGCCATAAGGGAAAATGAAACATGCATTTATGACAACTTAAAATTCTACATATTTCAGATTTCTGGAAATTTTAATATTTCTGTACAGTACAACCTTCATTATACACCTAATGTAACATGTATTTGTGTATTTATGTTCATGTAAAGTAATAAATTAAATAAATGTATTTTTTATTTAATATTAATGGCAATTGATACCAAAGTATAATGAATTTGAATAAATATCCATAGGAGTTCAAATTTGCGTGTATGGTATTTGCCCCCAAGAAATCCTTTTAAAAAAGGCATGATAAAAATTTGGCGATTTCAATGCAGTTAAGTAATGAATAAAAATAGAAGTATAAGTATTAAAAGAAAATGTCATACATAAAAAAAAAAAAAAACAATTAAAATTAGTTAAAAGGAAAAGTAAGCAAATAAAAAATAAAGTAAGAAGTATATTTTATTAAATCATAATATAGAACACTAGATCATAATATGATTATATATAGCAGTACATTTTAGATCCTGAGTGAAAAGATGAATGTATTGATTTTACAATGATGTGTGTTTTTTTTTTTGTCTGTTATCACCTATTAATACAGTAAAAATGATTTTATTATCGTCAACAGTATTTTTTCTGATAGGAAAGTGAATCTTGTTGTACCTTGGGGAATGGGGGGTCAAAAGTAAAAATTGTCCAGTAGTTTTCAAAAGCGCCGTGAAAAATAAAAGAAAAATTAAGGAAAAACGGAAATTCTTAGGCAAAATCGTTTTTTATTAAATCGATTTTAGTTTTTGGCTTAACTCTAAAACAAATGATCGTAGGTACATGCAATTTTGACTGAATGTTTATATCAGCATTTTCTATACAAAATAACATTTTCCAAATATTTTCACTTATTTTTAGCTATTTACGGACATTTTCCGTTTCCATGTTTTAAAGTTTTTTTTTAAATATCAATAAAATTTTATCTGTTGGTTAAAAAAGCTCGAAAATGTAATAGAAGACATTCCTAGTATATTGTTTCAAAGGTACCTAGATGAAAAAAATTAAAAATCCATAGTTACAATTTTTACATGCTTTTTACATGCTTCACAATGTTTCATTCATTCATTCATTTCTGTTGTCAACAAATCTTGCGAGTTCAATTTAAATCACTTCTACATGACCTAGGAGGCTCAAATTTTGTATGGAAGTCTAGGGTCGGTGACAATACATGACCCCGTTGTCAATTCTTGACTTGGACAACCAGGTCGCCGATGACGGGTGTACCTGGAGGTCATCTCCAGACCGCAAAAAAAAAAAGGCTAAAAAAAAAAAATTACCCCGAGTTTCCCCTTTGACTGGTTGCTCCTAATGGCCTCCCGAACCTAAATCCAGCAAAAAAAACAAAATCCAAAATGGGGTGAGGGGGTTCCCCCGTTCCCTTAAGCGGAAAACTGTAGTCCTTAACATAAGGAAGTGTTCCTACTTGGTCCAAGGTCTTTAACTTGAATTCCCTCCGAATTAAACTTAACTCAAAATGTGGGGGGTGGGGGCTTTGGTTCCCTAATGGTGGAAATTCATCTGGGGCCTTAAAAAATGAGATCCCCCTCGGTCCGGGGTCTCAAAGTGAAATACCCGTTAAGTTATACTTGGTCAAAAAAAAGTCAAAAAGTGAAGTGGGGGGAGTGTCGCTTCTATATTTATTCTATAGTCTATTCAAAATAAGATCACGCTACGGCGGCCAAGTTCTGCGCATGGGCGTGGCTTCACCACGAGCACGGACCTCGAATGGTTGATGTAGTGGGGGCCAAAATAGGTGGAGCCTGACACAGAACAATATTATTATAGATAGGTGTTTCAATATTTAATCATTTTATACTAGTTCGTGAAGCATGAAGGAAGCTCTTCAAACATACTTTTCTTAGAAAAGCAGGGGCACTTATATGATAACTCCTATGTAAAGTCACTCTACAACTGAATCATTAGATAAACTTTATGATAAGTATTTTAAAGATTATTGATCATACTTCCAATTTTGTAAGAGATATTCTTGACTCATAGGAGCCCCATGCATTTAGTTTTTTGTAATTCACAAGTTTTAAAAATGTTGCAACAAATACATTTTAGAAACACTTTTAGTAATATCTTGATAACCTTGAAGTTTCATTAAGAAATTGTTTTAAAAGTAAGTCTATTTTCAACTTTTTAGTTCATGTATTAAGTAGAATTAAGAAAAGCATGTTTTTAAAAAAAAATTTAAAATTTTTTTATTTTTTATGAGCATTTAAATTTCAAATAATGACAAAATACGTAAAAATGACGAAAATTTGGAAATTGTTTTGTTAGGAATTCATTAAAAAAATTTTTTTTAAATCTAAGATTTGAAAATGTTATACAAAATTCCTCATAAGTTTGTCTACCTTTATATCAAAAAAAAACAAAGTCTACAAGAAAGTCAAATTAAATTTTTATGAGTGTTTGAAAATTCATATTTCTCATGTAACGATTTTTCTTATTGTAATTAAAAAACGAATGACTATAGTCTATAGATACTTGAAAATTTCACTGAATGTTTATATTGCAGGCATTTCCTAAACACCATACAATTTTGAACATATTTTTTGTCACGCCTGCACCGAAAGTTTGGTTTTCGACCACGGTTGAAGCGTTCGAAAGCGTCCTTTTTCCGTCCAGCGGGCGGTAAAGTAGAAAGCCCCAAAGTGCCGGGTGGAAAAGAGGAAATCCCCAAAAGTGCCGGGCGGAAAAGAGGAAATCCCCAAAAGTGCCGGGCGGAAAAGAAGAAATCCCCAAAAGTGCCGGCCGCCGGGCGCGTATCCCCTGCACAACCAGAAACTAACATGTATACCTACCACGGTTCTTACAAAACATAAACTTTTGGTTACATCTTAAATGTATATAGTATAACCTCCTTGCATGACGCATAAACATTTAATATACTATTGTAGAATAGTCTATAATTGTTGCATAGATCCCTGCATAAACTTTTCCATGAACGCAGGGGCGTGACAAAAAATAGTATATGTGGCTCACTTCCCGCCCTTGCCACACAATATACTATTGACTCTTTTTAAGCTGTTTACGGGCATTTACAGTTTTCAATATTTTTAGTTTTCTTTCCCATAAATATCAATAAAATTGTATTTGTTGGGAAAAAAGCTTGAAAATGTAATGCAAGGCTCCTGATATATTGTTACAATAGCAGTTGAAAAATATTAAAAATACATAGGCTCAATTTTTTTTTAAAAATTTATCAAAATTTAAAATTTAATAATTATTTTGTAGTTAATTTATAAAACGTTCAACTTTTATAGCGAAGGATTGAAAATTTAAAACAAGGTTCCACGTAAATAGGTAAATATATAAATTACTTTATTCACTATAATAATATTATATTATAATAATAATATAAGGTCTTTCATACAAGTAGTTCATACTTTTACCGAAAAATTACAGATAATTTATGAAAATTGGTATGCAAATAGGTACAATGTTTTTTAAAAAATGAATTCATTATTCTGACATATATGAAATTTACGTCTTACTATAGTTGACAGTTTAAACTTGATTAATATTATTTTTAAAAAGTAATAATAATACGGGCAATTTGGGGGGCTTCAGCCATCTACCGCCGCCGAATAGTTTTTAACACTCAAGTCTTGCTTGAAGAACTGGCCCTCGCAGCTGCTTAATTTCCTAGTTAGATAGCGTTGTCATATACGATTTACAACACGGACATCTCCAAGACACAACATTTTTTTTTGCAAATGGTTAAGTAGCAGAATTTATTTATTTTTTATGCCAAGTAGTCAGTAAATATTGTAGTTTGAAGATTTTTTCAGATTTTCGTATTCATTTTTATGTCGAAACAATTGAAACGTTGTTTTTAAAAAGTAGGTAGGTACCTACCTATTTATTTTTCAATTCACAATTTGTCATTTTAGATTCTGAGCGGAGCGATGAATGTATTGGTTTTACAATGATGTATGTTTTTTTTTATTTATATTTTTATTTATATTTTTATTTATTTATATTTTTGTGTCTGTCATCACGTTTTAGGACAGTAAAAGTGCTTGGATTTTCTTCATCAGTAGCTTTTCTGATAGGAAAGTGAATCTAGTTGGTACTTTGGGGGGTCAAAAGTATAAATTTCCCAGTAGTTTTCACAAGCGCCGGGAAAAACAACATAAAAATTAAGGAAAAACGGGAATTTTTACGCAAAATCGATTTTCCAAAAAATCGAATTTGGTTTTTGGTGTAACTTTAAAACAAATGACCGTAGATACATGAAATTTTCACTGGTTGTTTATAATTGCATTTTCTATACACGATAACATTTTCAAAATATTTTGATTTATTTTGAACTGTTTAGGGACATTTTCATTTTCCATTTTTTTTTAGTTTTTTATCTAAAAACATCAATAAAATTTTATTTGTTGGTTGCGAAAGCTTGAAAATTTAATAGAAGGCTCCTAATATGTTGTTTCAAAGGCAGATGAAAAATATTAAAAATCCTTAGTCACAATTTTTTTTTATAAGCATTTAAAGTTCAAAAAATCACAAAATATGGAAAAATCACGAAAATTAGCAAATTATTTTGAGTTAAGAATTCGTCAAAATTTTTCTTTTTAAATCTAAGATTTGAAAATGAAACACAAGATTCCTTATAAGATTATCTACCTTTATCAATAAAAAAATCTCTACCGGACAGTCAAATTAAATTTTTATGAGCGTTTGAAATTCAAATTTTTACAACATTGGATTTTCACTCGATTTCTCATGTAGCGATTTCCTTATTTTGTTGTAATTCAAAAACGAATAACTGTAGATACATGAAAATTTCACTGAATGTTTGTATTAGCATTTCCTATACACCATACAATTTTGAAAATATTTTGACTCTTTTTGAGCTGTTTATGGACATTTACAGCTTTCAATTTTTTTTAGTTTTTTTTTCTATAAATATCAATAAAGTTTTATCTGTTGGGCCAAAAGGTGTAAAAATTTAATACAAGGCTCCTGATATATTGTTACAATATCAGTTGAAAAATATTAAAAATACATAGGCACAGTTTTTTTTTATAAGCATTTAAAGATCAAATTTTGACAAAATTTATCAAAATCTCGAAAATAATCAATCATTGTAATTAATAAATTATAAAATGTTCAGTTTTTATAGCTAAGGATTGCAAATTCAACACAAAGGTTCTCGTAAATAGTTCATACTGTAACCAAAAAATCTAAAAAATATATGAACACAGTTTTTTTTTACAGACATTTTAAATTCAAATTTGGACGAAATTACATATTAAAACCAAGAATTACGATTTTAGTTATTTTGTTGTGATTGAATAATATTATTCGTGGGTACTTGAAACTTCTAAAGTGTACTATTATATATCTATGCTAGTATCACGGTTTTTGTTGATGTATAACGCGTTATAAGTATCTAATGGATATTGTGAAATGATTAATTTGGAATTTATTATAGGTGCCTATTATAGGTCAATTTTTTGTTTAATACCATAGATATGTATATAATATGTCTTATACATAGACTGACATACCGTCACCGCTCAGAATCGTTTTTCTTATACAATGATATTAGATCATTGAATTCAAATTTAATACCATCCATTATACAGTGACCCACTTGTAACCTACTGTACAGCAGAGCGACACCCACTTGCCCACCTTTTTTTATATTTGATATAAAATTAAATTTTATTTAAGCCAATATAAAATGTAAATCTTTTTGATTCTGAGTGAAACGATGAATGTATTGATTTTACAATGATGTGTGTTTTTATTTTATTTTTTTGTGTGTCTGTCACCTTTTAAGACAGTAAAAGAAATTTTCCACATTTTTAACTACAAAATAATTATTCAATTTTAAATTTGATAAATTTGGTCAAAACTCGATCTTTAAATGCTTATAAAAAAAAAAAAAAAAAACGCATAGATAATCTTATAAGGAATAAGTAGGAATACATGGACACAATTTTTTTTATAAGAATTTAAAGTTCGAATTTTGACAAAATGTATCAAATTTAAAATTTAATAATTATTTTTAGTTAAAAATGTATAAAATATTAAATTGTATAAATTACTTTATTCACAATATAATATTAAAATCATCAAACATACTTTGTAATAACACAGGCTGACTGACCGTTTTCGCTCAAAATCATTTTTCTTATACAATGATATTATATCATTTAATTCAAATTTAACACCATCCATTGGCAACATTTGTAACCAACTGTACAGCAGAGCGACATCCACTTGCCACCTTTTTTTATTTGTAAGCCTTAAGAGATTTTAGTTTTAATCTGTATCAGTTCATAATTTTTAATGGGATTTGGATGTAATTATCTACAATTTAATTGAAATTTTAAGCATTTCAACAAATGTAAAACATTTGTTTTCACTTCATGTAAATAATAAATATTATATAATACAATAAACAATATTGTATTAAGTTGTCAAATAAATCATTGTTACATAATTATTAACAAATTCACAATTATTTTTAGTAATAGTTGTATATTGTTAATACTGGTAATACAAACAATAAAATAATAAACATACAATGAAACAGGCTCCTCACCAGCACTATCCGGTGGGACTTATTTAATGTGGCTATAAAGGAGCCGTTATATGAACACTGGTGCAAGATTAGTACCTACTATCATTGTTCTAATTAATACAGTTAAAACAATTCAACCAGAACTTATTGTATATAATATTAAGTTAGTTTTAATATTAATTTAATTATTATAACATTATATGAAAAATAAAAATATAAACAATTTAAACATAATAATCTGGTAACATCAATATAAAAATTGTATATACTTATAATATAATAATATGTATTTAAATATAATCAAAATTAAACAATGTTTTTCTTCTAAAATTAGCTAGTTTCACAAAAATATGTAAATAAAATCTGAACATAGATATCTCAGAAAAATTATATATTTTGTGAACGTGTACCAGTATAATAGTACAAAATCACTTAAATCACGTATGCTTTATTAACCCTGGATAATATTTCTATATTTGAACACATTGAATTGCACTTTATAAAGTTTAGTTTATTCTGGTTTGTTTCCAACTCCATCAGCTATATCGTAAACAGCGGTGGCCACTTCAACAGCAAGTTTATCAGCGTTGAATTGAGTGTCTGCTTCAGCATAAATTCTCACCAAATCTTCTGTACCAGAAGGTCTACAAAGTAAAAATTAAAAAAATGTGTATTTAGTATTTACTATAAAATAGAAAAAATTATATTCTATAGGACATTGCACAAATAACTACACAATATGTTTTACATTAACGTATAATATCATATCGGGGGTCGCCCATTACCGCACAAAAACACTTAAACACCCAACCACCAGCTACTCCACTGCGTGCGAGCTATCTGGTTTTACTGTAGCCTAGTAATTTCACTCCGCACTCATTTCCAACCACCTCACAAATTTTAAATTTGAATTTCGTTAATTTTTGTTATACATATATATCTATTATATAGAACTACTATAAAGATGCTATTTTTAATTATTTTGATGTAAAACACATTTTGGATTTTTTAATTTGGATTGTGTACTTTGATTTATGGAATTTTAATTTAATTCTACGTAATATATTTATATTTCAATTTGTGTGGCATTGTACTATTTTTGTGTGCGGAATTAAGCTACATAGTTTTATAAACCTGTGCGGTAATGGGTTATACATTTTGTGAGGCATCAAGTCATGTTTGTACGGTAATGGAAAGCGCCGATCATATAACACATGTTAAATACTTAGCTATTAATTATACCATCTCCTTCTCAACAAACAATACAATTAATAACAAAAAAAGGTTTTGTCAACTTGTAGATAAAACTCCCAAGTATTAAACTTGTTCAATAAAATTATGGAAAATATATCCATTATTACCAAACTATATTTTACCTGACAAAAGATCTGCCCATTGAATACTTTGACACAATAGAATCTATTATTCCTTGAAGGCCTTCTGGTTTGATACAAATTCTCTCAGCGTCACCAGTCTCAAATGTATTTCTGTCCTGATATTTAACATATTATACAATTATTCATGGCTAAACACATAAATTCACATACATTTACCTTGACAGTAACTTTTGTCAAACGATTTGGCAAATCAGAGTATGTTTTATACCAATCACTAATGCTCCATCCTCGTTCACAAAGTACAGACTCAACAATCAGCATATCGGAATAAGCATCGCCTACGGTTTCATTAGTCATATCCATGATGCAAATCAATTTCTTTAGTGCCAGTGACATTGCCCTTAAAATATAAAACTAATTTGAATATTTTAGAACAAGTAAAGCAAACAAAAAATATGGGTTTTTTAAACCTAAGTCAAAATATTTAATCTGATTTGTAAATCTTGAATACTTTATATTCTTAGGCAAAACATATTATTTAAGTGTAATGGTAATTTTATTATTTTAAATAAAATATAATGGGCGACATACTCATCTTTTTCAATAGCAGATTGGTTTCGAATAAGTTCACGTATAGCATCCTTGAATAATATAGTACCATGACCATTAGCTTCAAAATAAACTCCAACATCATAGTCGTTGGCTTTATGATGAAGATATTTCACACCAGTCGGTACACATGCAACAGGAACTTTCTGTAAAGCAAACACATAAGTTAATCATTTATTAATGAAATTAAAATTGTTTATACCAAGTTAATGACAACTATTGCTCTAAGTTTTTTTAAATTAAGAACTGCTCAAATTATATTTGTTAGAATACAATTACATATAAATTATGTTAACTTTAAATGTTTAATAAAGAAATAAATACACAAAATAAAATGCATACCAACTTATCAGTTGCATATTTTGTAGAATTTCCATTTGAATAAGCGGTTTGCACCAACCCTACATTGACATCAAGACCGGAATCAATGAATAAATCTTTTATATAACCAGCCACTATAATAAAATAAAATTAACGAATAACAAAATAAATAGAACACAGTTTTAAATAAGTTTTAATGTAGTACCAAGTGTAGCAATTCGATCACCGTCTAATAAATAAAATTTGTTGTTTTCATCAATAAAAGAATAAACTATTCTATCCGCATCTCCATCCACGGACACATATTTAGAGTGTGGCTTAATAGTCATTCCGGTAGGAGGACATTGGTTTGATTTCACAAAGTCTGCACCACACTTAAATAAATGAAAGGGAAGAATATTTTGATGAACGATTATCCATTTAATTTTACTTAAAATAAAAAATATAAACATACTTTGTAATTTAGTTTTTCTGTATTCAATATGTCATCGTTATGCATATTAATCACCAATGATTCTTCTAAATATGTGATTGCATCTTTCATTTTTAAAGCACCCACCCCATTAGCACCATCAAATTCTATTATTGGGTTGTAATTTTTCAAATCTAAACACTAAGGCAGATACATTATATTGATAATAACAGAAATATATTTTCATTAGTTAATTAAGTATGTGAGTTGTTACTACTTGCCATTTTACGCAAAGTTTTAAAACTGTTTGTTAATTTAGTATAATAAGAATGTTCATTTGGCTGACCGTACGAGCAATTGGTGTTATAACATCTAACAAAAAAATGTAACATTGGTGTTGTTATTATGCCAAAATCTTCAACATTACTCTTAAAAGCTTTAACACCGCAAAGTACAGCTTCCAACAATCTTTTACCAGAATTTCTGAAAACACATAACCGTATAAAATATAATTCTGGTAAAAATAAATCTGCAAGACATAATATAATAATTTTGAAGGCTAACCTAGTATCACGACCGATGTACACACGAGGTATATATGATTTGTCAATATTATACTTTGAAGCAATATTTATGAGCATAGCACATACATCCTCGTTATTAGGGGCGTTAGCCAATTCGGTGGCATAGACTTCCCACGAACTGTCCAACATTTCTCCTTGAGGGTCGATGAGTTTGATTCCATTGTCATCTTGCGGATTGTGCGAGGCTGTTATCATTAGCCCGACTGCTGCCGATTTCAAATGTATTGAGCGCAGAGCCACCAGCATTCCCATCCGATGTTGAACATGGTCCAGGTGTTCAGAACTGAAAATAGTAAGTATTTAGTGACCGTTACAAGATTGAACTGTCACCACCCGTCACCACCGTCGCCACCCTCACTTATAACGAATGCCCGACGTGCCGTATTGAAACACGGTGGTTCCTGGATTCGGATACGACCCGATGTTCGATTCCACTTCTACAACGTTCTCGATCCACTCATCCATTTTGACGCGGTAATGTTTAATATTAACGTAAAATCAAAAAAAATTATAAAGACGTCCGGACAACCGTATACTCGTATTGCAATAACGATAAAACTAAATTAAGATACCTCTGTTTAGACTGGCAGCTATCCTATAGCGTACGTCCAATACTGATGACGTGTTACTTTCATTCGACGCATTCCACTGTTGCATTCACGATATAAATTCCATCGACTGTGGACACTCAGGACCGGGTGAAATTCGTTACATAATAATAATTGTTTTGGATAGTTAAATATTACATTTCACCAGTCTCGTTTCATTACACTTCGTACCCACTGATAACCGGACAGTCTTGTAAATAGAAAACACGTGTTGGACGCAGTGTGATAACGAGGAAGGACTGGGACCTGGACTTCGGGAGTGATAGGAGCGAACATCTGTTGCACTTGCAAGTCGTTGCAACTTGCATTCAGTGAATAAGTACATGACTGGGAAATTGGGGATCGATCATCGATCCGCTTTTCGGTAGGCGCCATTGAATATTATGGTGGGTAAATGTAATCATTAGGTTTAGGTACCTACAGTGTAAGCACAGATTAAATGAAAGTGGAAAGCGTGTAATCATTTGTGTACGTAATGTGTTAAATTTGAATTCAATGATAAATCATTACAAACGAAAAACGATTCTGAGCGGCGTCTGTCAGCCTATATTTCTAAGGATATTTTATTATTTATTATATACTTACAACACTGTAATACCAATACGTATTTATTTTAATATTGCGATTAGTAACTTATTTTTCAGTTATAGTAGGTTTAATATAGATACCATTTATTAAAAATTTTAATTAAAAATATATAATATTAAAACAATGACTAATGAGGTAATACGGACTCTGTAGGTTGAACTTATATTTACCAAAAACAAATCGCATATATAATTATTATCTTGTTATTATTATAACAATATTATTTCTTATAATATTATACTTACTACTATTAACTTTTAAGTCAATACGTACCATAGTCCATAGACGACCAGTGTGAATAAGTAAATAAGTTCATGGTATAGGATACCTGATACCTTGAAATTAGTCTAAATACTATATATATATTAATACATTATTATTCATTGTAAAACATATATCTATGTTTATCGCTCGACGCTTCACTTAAAATATAATATAGGAAAATCGAAAATACAATATCTATGCATTTGTCTAATTGTCTGTAGTCACAGTGGCGTCCGCAGGGGGGGAGCTAATGGGCTAAAGCCCCATCCCATTGCCCGTATTATTATTACTTTAAAAAAATAAATATTTATCAAGTTTCAACTGTCAACTATAGTATTTATAAGCAAGACGTAAATTTCATATACCTACGTCTTACCAGAATGAATTCATTTTTGAAAAACATTGTATTTGAATACAAATTTTCCAAAATGGGTCTGTAATTTTTCGGTAAAAGTATGAACTATTCGTATGAAAGACCTTGTATTCCATTTTCTAATTTTAGCTTATACAAATTTAATATTTTATAAGTTTTGAACTACAAATTAACTGTCGTTTTGACAAAATTTTAACTTTAAATGTTTATAAAAATTAACCATGATACCTATGTATCGTTAATATTGAGGGTATAACCAAACTGGTTACCAAACAATTTTGATAAATTTTCATTTTTTTTCTTCAATTATTTTAAAAAGCATTGCATTTTCAATTTCAACCTCCTAAAAGTACCAACTAGATCCAATTTGCTTCCAAAAATATACATCGGGTATCGAAGCTTAAGATCAGATCGTTTTTTCTACCAGAAAAATTGAAAAGTTACTAAAATTTTAAAATTTAAAACGTCTGAAATCATTAGACGGGACAAAATAAAAATGACTAATTTTCAAGCCCCCCCCCCCATTGAAAAATCCTGAGTAAGCCACTGTGTAGTCATACTTAATACAATATCATATATATTAGGTATATTTAATTTAAGTATATATAGGTAAACAATTTAAGACGATTGTTCAGATTTGTAATTTTTTTTATATTACCTATATATAAAATTTGTATATTATAATCATTGTGACTGATTCATATAGGTATCAAGAATTAATTCGTGTTCAATGTCCAATATTTTTCAGAGGCATCATGAAACGTCTTGTTGAACTTAACAACTGAAAAACTGAAAACCTCGTTTAAAATAGCTATTTCACATTTCAATTACCTACCCAAACAATTTGCGTTTGTAGTACTTTATAGTTTATACATATATTTTGTATTACGTGTCTATATACGTTAATTTTTATTTTTTAAACATATATACCTACTTATTTTAGATGTAGGGAATATGTAAGATCAACATTTATTTAGTAGATATAATATTTAAATAAAAACATTGTTTGAAATATTATATAATAATATAATATAATGTATACTGTATAGTACCTATATATACCAACGTGGGTATGTATACTGTATAGTATATACACCAACGTGGGTAACCAGTTAAAACCAAGCCATTAAACGTTATGTATTTTAAATTGGACTAATTAAATACAGTGATCTACTGATCCATACATTTTTCTGCGCCATACATTTTGATTTAAGAGTTTTAAAACGTTTAATTCGACTGAGGTCAAAACAGTTTGAGAGGGCATATTAATATGGTTTTGTCAATGGTCAAGGCATTTCGAAGGAGCTATATACAACAACACTATACTAAAGCTAAATCGTGTGGTGTACTGGATGTCTTGATAGTGTGATATGTATTACAAATATACATGAGTTGTATGCTTATTTGTTTTTATTATATTTAGATATAGACGAATACAAATAGTTGTAACGTATTTTATTTTTCATCTAATTGTTTATATGATGGTTTACATTTATTTTATGACGAACGGCTTTACGTAAAAATTGTGTTAATTTGGCGAAAAAATTTAATTACTGTTATAATGGCAGAAGGAGAATTTTCTTTTAAGCGGACGTTTATTACATATACCCGAAGGAAAATTGTAAGCAGATTTACAAGGTCTATACCAAATTTGAGGGTTTTACCCAGAGGATGGCATAAAAAAATATTCATCAAAGTAAGTCCTAAATAGGTACAACAATGTGTGCAAGTACTTACTTACCTACCTACTCACTTTATTTACACACATAATTTACACAGGTTACTACTCGTACTATATAATAGGTAGTACACGAAAACAAATAAAAGTTGTACCTACCTATATATCACGCAAGTAAACGATGCGTGGTAAAAAAGGAATAAGGAAAAATCACAGAACGAATAAACATCTCGTTTTTGTATTATTTGATTGAAATGGTCATTTAATTTTTATAGATAATTTAGGATCAAAAAATCAAAATCAAATACTTTGATGACGAAAATTTCGTATTTAGAATATTTTTTTCTCCAAGATATTAACCCAAATTGATTTATTTTCTTTTACGGTTTTACCTACATACTGTCCAACTTTTTAATTTGAGACTTAAAATTCATTATTTCTTCTAGATTATAATATGGGTATATCTTATAAACAGTTTACATTATATTTTAGATTCAACACATTACCTATTTACTTAACCAAGAATATATTTTTAAATTTACCTAATTTTTTTAAGAATATATACCACTGTTATACTATACTGTTTTCAGGCAACTAATAAATTGAGAAAAATTCATGTGATTTGGAAAAATAAAAGATTCAAAATCTCACAAGATTTAAAACGCAAAAAACAAGTAGAACTGAAAATGCTTGCTGAATATCTTTTTAAAGGTAGTTAATTCAATTTATTTCGAAATATTTTCCTTGGTTTCTTTCGATGTTTGAAATTAAACATAATATATTCTAACAAATAATAATTATACCTAATTTCAGACAAAAAATGCAGCTACGAATGTAATACACGTTGTCTGTTTTTGATTGAACGGTTGAATTCATTAGAGAAGTATTTGAAAATGACATTTATGCGCAATCTAAATGAAAAATACCTTGTAAGAATAATAATTATTATACTATTTCAATTATTTATTAAAATTATGCAAAAAATAATATGCATTAGCCAAGTAGGTATATTATGTAAATAATATAGACGCAATATAAAAAGTAAAAATGGATAATTTTGTATCCAAAAATGCCATAATTACCTATTTGAAAACCGTGATTGAGACGGTGTGGATTTTTTGTTTTGATGAGTGATATACCTAGTCGATTTAAGTATTGATAATTGCGCCTGTATACTTTTACTTGTGCAAACTGCGAATTTTGCTAAATTATTTTGATAATTTCTTTAGTATGGTGTTAAAGTGGTAAAATTCGACCGAAAAGGATACAAACGAAGAACTAGACTGTTGATATTGACAAACAAATCATTGTGTTTAAACAAAATACTTAAAAACAAATTAAAACCCAAAGAAAAGATACCATTGGATTTTATAAAAAAATTAGAAGTTACTTCAGGAAGGGATAACTTTCTACTCATCAAAATTTCACCACAATATAAACACAATAAGGTATTAACATTAAGGTATACTATTATTTTATTTAGTGTAGGTAAAATTAATATATACATATAGTAATATGCTATATTAATATTACCATATTACTATAACAACGTATAGCTGTTTGGGCACTTACAATTGTATTATTATTACCCCTGCTATTATAGTTCTAAACTTTTAGGGGGGTGGGTCGACGGGGGGGCAATTGCCCCGGAGCGCCAAATTCTGAGTCCTCAATAGTTGCTAGAGGTTATAACAAAATTATTTTTTTACTTTGTTAAATTTGTTGAGAAATTATATTAGTGATAACTGATAAGTGTAACCTGTATCTTTTTTATAATATCTTTTACATTTCTATACATATTTCTATGTAATATATATATATAATGTATTTTATTAAATTGTTGTAAAAAAAGGCTAAAATCAAAATTATAATTTGTTTGTTTAATTAGGAATAAACGGAGTGTTAATGGTAAAATAAAAGTGTTCTATAAATTAGTGGAAGCATAAATTCAATAAGGGGAACATACATTTTGGGTTATCAATTATCACTTTTACATGGCTTGAAACCGATTGAAAAAATTTCTGTTTTGGTTTCGATTTGTACACCGGATTCCAATTTTTTTCTGTTTTGGTTTTGGATTTTGTTATCGATTTCAGTTTTTAAATGGTTTATACCGGTTTCAAAAACCTGGACTATTTACGTTCATTCTTAGCTTATTAATTTTTTTGAATCACTGGATCGAGCGTCCGATCGCCTATTGTGTAAAGTAAACTTTCTAAAATGGCAATGGATACAAAGATTTTCAAAAAAATGCCGTTTTTTAAATTATATTTTCGGCTTTCATTATAATACCGATTTCCAAGTTTTTGCGGTTTCAGATTTGATTTTGTTTTCGAATTCGGTTTTATAACGGTTTATACCGGTTTCAAGCCCTGCACTATTAACTGAGAGAAAAAGTAAATTGTAAATTAGAGTTTTTTGTGACAATGAGTAAAAGGAAACTAAGAAAAAAAGGGGTGCCAAAATGTGTTTACCCAGGTCGCCAAAATCGTAAATACGCCACTGGTTCTACACTTCTATTGTATGTCTCTAATCTAAATAATTAGAATAATAATAAGAATTAAAATAAATAGTAAATCTACCCATAGATGTTAGATTGTAGTGTTAGCCGGTAGGGGAAGCAATATGCCTCCTTAAATAATTCCCAAGAAAAGTTGTACTTGTCGGCTATTGTTATTTTATAACTTTGAACGAGATACTATGTTGGAATGTTTGTTATTATTTTAAAGACTAAAGTTATTTATACATTTGATTCTATTGAAGTCTATTTTTATTTTTGGTCCTATCCGTCTCCGTCTGTTTATAGTCAATCTGTAAAGTGTAAGTAAAAATATTTTATTCACCGTTAGATACATAATGGTTTCAGTTCAAGAGTATAATAATAAATAGACCAACTGAATAATTTTACCGTAAAAACACCCATGACCCATTAGTTAAGTTTTACAGGAGAATCGTATCTAATTCCGCGAGTCGCGAGGAGTCCGATAGGTTGATATATTTTTTTTCGGCATTATAAACTTATAAAAAATATTTTAGCTATGTTCGATTAGTTTTAACTGTCAGTAACGTTTATATGTTTTATGTACTTATTATTTTTTTATTGCTCAACACATAATATATCCCTGTCTGAGGGGGAACAAAAATATTTAAAACATTAACAGAGGGAGTGGACAATGGGGATGATTATTCATTTATGTGAATTTGTTCACTTATTTAAATATAAGCTTTGTTAAAAATAAAGTTTAAGTATACAATACAGTATTTAAGTATACCCTCTACAATTTCAACTAAATCTTTGATATGCGTTCACCTAAATGTATTATATAAATTGTTTATTTTGCAGGGTGATATAATTCTTGAAGTTCCATATTTAATAGAATTTGTTACTAAATTTGTTCACGTCTCTGGCAACTATAAGCTGTTAAATATAAACAGATTAGGTGTCAATCAAACGTAAGTATACCTACATTCTAAAAAAGGTACTCTGCTGTGTACAGTAGGTTACAAGTGGGTCACTGTATAATGGATGGTATTAAATTTGAATTCAATGATATAATATCATTCAGGGGCGTACTCAAGGGGGGGGGGTTCGTGGGGTTTGAACCCCTCCCATGACCTTACTAACCGAAGCACTTTTGTGCGTTCTTGTTTATACATAATATAATTCACAGGAGCAATTTTCTAAAAAAAAATTTTTAAGAAGGGAAAAAATAAACAAATATATTTATTTTCAATTTTATGTCAACATGCATTATACAACGATTACAAGCATTATCTGTTAAGAACTGTATTATGATAACCAAATAAAATTTAAATCAAACATACAAGGTGTATTGATAAGTTGTCGTCACTCTGGACCCCTATACGTATACACTCTTGATTGAAAATATTACCACAGTTCTATAGTCACCAGAGCGCGCTTCTTGTCCTACGAAGCCCTGTATATTCATTCTGTTAAATGCAAAATGTCTTAAAACTTCAGAATTAAAATGCTAATATTTTTTAAAATTGAAGTCAGTATTTACAAAAACATTGAATCATAAAAAGTTTTTTTTTTAATTGAGTTGGTATAATAAATTTGGAGCCTGTAATTATACATTACATTTGCATTTTATTCATTGGCAATATTTTTATCGAGTAGACATCAATTAGAAAAAAATATTATGTATAATTTAGTCACTTCTTTGGATATTTGCATCCTTCTTAAAATCTTTAAATTAAATTAAAACTATTATGATTCTACTCCTAATTCTAATAGTAGTCTGGTAGAGTGGAGTATTATTTTATAGTGCTCATAAAAAACTAAAAACATGTTTAAAATATTTTGCATATTTTATTTTATGATTAGGTATATTATTTATATTATAATATTATTCAATAATAGTTATCTTATAAACTTCAAACTAATTTTGAAAAATTGTTTAGTTTTTTTGGTGTTTCCTTGTTTTTAGCACCTTGCTCATTTTTTTCTTTTGTAAGTGAATATCATTCTTGTTTTGACATAATGCGTTATGATATATTTGGTTAATATTTGACTGTGTATTGAGCAACCAACCTTTGTCAAAAAATTTGTTTATATATTTCTTCAATAAATATAAATTATGTTAGAAAAATAAACAGTGAAAAATGTATAGTAGTTTTCAAATTGAAATGCAACATTAAAAACATGATCTTTTACCGGGACAGCTAGTTATATTTATTATATTTAGATATTTTACACTATAATGTATTACAGTATTTCTCAATTTTTTTTTGTCGTGAGGCTCCCTAAATTTAATGTAAAACTGTCAAGGCCCCCTTATTCAAAATTATTAATTGTTTTTTCTAAATTAGGTATATACTAAAATTACTTGTACTATTTCACACAGATAATTATTAAAATGTATAGTAATTTAATATACTTTTGAAAAATATTAATGATAGTATTAAAATTTAAGTATTTATTCTTTTTCCATAAACGCTTAAAGTCAAAAAATAAAAATAAAAATAAAATAATAACATTTTTTACTAGTGTGCCTGGAAGTTCTAAGTACATTGAACCCTACAATAATCTTAAAAGAAAACATGAACACGTTAATCAATCGGAATCGGAATATTGTTCTTTAAATAAACATTTTTCATTTTTGAAATTTATTTTCTGTAGAGTACATTACCATGTTTATATTTAATATTTTTAAAAAGGAAGTGACAAAGTCCCCGTGATAAAAAACAAAATGTTCAACCCCCCCCATTGAAAATTCCTGAGTACGCCCCTGATATCATTGTATAAGAAAAACGATTCTGAGTGGAGACGATATGTCAGTCTAGGTATAAGACATATTAAATACTTATCTATGGTATTAAAAAAAATTGACCTATTAAAGGTACCTATAATAAATTCCAAACTAATCATATCACAATATCCATTAGGTACTGATAACGAGTTATACATCAACAACAAACCCTGATACTATCACAGATATATAATAGTTTACTTTAGAAGTTTCAAGTACCCACGAATGATATTATACAATCACAAAAAAATAACTAAAATAGTTATTCTAGGTTTTTTATTATGTAATTTCGTCCAAATTTGAACTTAAAATGACTATAAAAATAAACTGTCCTGTATTTTTTAGATTTTTTAGAATTAATTACTTATTTTCAATCCTCAGATATAAAAGTAGAACATTTTATAAATTATCAACTAAAAATAATTATTAAATTTTGAAATTGATAAATTTTGTCAAAATCCGATCTTTAAATGCTTATATAAAAAAAAATTGTGCCTATTAACTTTAAATATTTTTCAACTGATATTGTATCAATATATCAGGAGCCTTGTATTACATTTTTACACTTTTTGGCCCAACAAAAATAAAACTTTATGGATATTTATAGAAAAAAAAATAAAAATTTGAAAACTGAAAATGTCCGTAAACAGCTCAAAAAGAGTCAAATATTTTCAAAATTGTGTGGTGTATAGGAAATGCTAATATAAACATTCTTAACATTTTTATATAAATATTCAGTGTAATTTTCATGTATCTACAGTTATTCGTTATTGAATTACAACAAAATAAAGAAATCGCTACATGAGAAATCGACTGAATATCCAATGTTGTAAATACTTGAATTTCAAACGCTCATAAAAATTTAATTTGACTTGCTTGTAGACATTTTTTTTTTTGATAAATGTAGATAATCTTATGAGGAATCTTGTATTACATTTTAAAACCTTAGATTTAAAAAGAAAAATTTTTACGAATTCTTAATTCAAAATAATTTGCTAATTTTCGTGATTTTTCCATATTTTGTCAATTTTGAACTTAAAATGCTAATAAAAAAAAAACTGTGACTAAGAATTTTTAATATTTTTCATCTGCCTTTGAAACAATATACTAGGGGCCTTCTATTAAATTTTCAAGTTTTTTTAATCAACAAGTAAAATTGTATTGATATTTTTAGAAAAATAAACTAAAAAAAAATGGAAAATGAAAATGTTCCTAAATAGTTCAAAACAAATCATAATATTTTGAAAATTTCATCGTGTATAGAAAATTCAAATATAAAAACCAGTGAAAATTTCATGTATAAACATTAATTTGTTTTAGAATTACACCAAAAACCAAAATCGATTTTGTGGAAACCGATTTTGTGTAAAATTTCCCCTTTTTCCTTAATTTTTATGTTGTTTTTCCTTTCGCTTTTGAAAACTTTTGGGAATTTTAAAATGACCTCCCGAATGCACCAACTAGATTCACTTTCCCATCGAACAAGATACTGTTGAAGAAAATTTAAGCAGTTTTACTGCCCCAAACTGTGATGACAGACACAAAAATAAAAAAAAAACACATTTCATTGTAAAATTAATATATTCATCGTTTCACTCAGAATCTAAAAAAATCACAAAAGCCAAACTCTTGTATTCCAACCTAACCTAACCGGCTTATACATATATCGTTATACATTGTTAAAACTTTATATAGCCTCTAGTGGGTTAATATAATCTTAATCATAAACATTGTATTTTTATTTTTATTGAATTATTATTGCAGGTTATTGCACGATATAAAAGGTTCCAAAAGTGGTGTTATAGAGTTAAAAGAATGCAATTCCACGCCCAGTATTACTAAAGATAAGTACAAGAATTTGATTGTTTGTGGATAAAAATATTAAATACAATTAGTTTATATTTTTATGTCAACAACTATATGTCTATATCATCTATATTATTGTCTGTTATAGTGTTATATTTATATTAAATATTGTAACTACAATTTACGTAATATAATGAACATACAACAATAGTCAATAATATATTAACCAACTACATTTAATACCTATTGTATATATAATCTATTTTTTTTTTTATATATAATTATATTAATATTATTCACTTTAAAAACTTACTTTAATTTTGATTTCTACCAATTTAGTTTCTAAGAGCGATGAATATATTGATTTTACAATGTGTTTTTTTTATTAATTGATATTAATTTTTTTTTGCTTAAATCATCACCTTTTAGGACAGTAAAAATGCTTAGATTAGATATAGTTAAAACTAACAGCACATTATTGAAACTAGTGAAGGGATATTTGGTATGTCGTAGGTATACGTGTGTAAGACGGAGACAATAAATGCACGGTTAACATCCTCTTATAGGGACAAGTTTTTGTAAATGGGAGTGTTTATTCAAGTGGAAATTTCCTTAGCCATTACAAGGTACCTAAAATAATACCTGTATAATTGATGATCTATACTTAATAATAACTATGATAATTATAAATAACATTTACCTTCTATATTAATATTTTATTAACTATTTTAGTATAAGCATGCTTCAATAATGTCAAAAGTTGAAGAATCTAGAAAAAATAATCTTATGGATAAAGATAAATACACTAATACCAAGCAAACTGAATTATTTGATACATATTCAAAGAAATTTGAATGCGAATGGTTATTATAATATAATATTAATAAAGTTAAATTAATTAATACCTAATCAAATTAACTCTATTTTATATAAGTAGGCAACTTACCTACTTAACCATTTCAGTACTGATATTTTTTTTGGAAAAATATATATAAAGTATATTAATTATTCATATGTACGTATTACATATTATAATTAATGAATTAATAGGTAGCCTAACATATACCCTACTTCTAAAGTATTAAATATTTAAAAAAATACACTTATATAATATAACACAATTATGGGGTGCGGCAAAAAAATCAAATATTAACAGAATCCAAACATTCCAAAATATTTCACTCCGACCATTGTCCAATGCTCCCCCCTATATCTCCAATCTAGCCCTTCATAACAATCTCTGTATGAGAACGATAGAAGCGGAAGAACCCATTTTGTATACACTTTTCCATAAACGACTTCAAACAGTTCAAACCCATACAAATCCTCTTATAAAAGACGTTTCTATCCTTCCACTCCCAGGAAACCCAAGCCGTAGGTTAAAAAGAAAGTGGTGCCGTGTCCTTTTACAAAACTTTGATGTCTCTAACTCTCTGAATACCTAATAATAATATAAACAATTAAAAAAAAAAAATTATCATTAGCCAAGAACCACTAATGGCTGCTTATTCAAAACAATCATGTTCTATTACTTTTATCATATAAACTTATTGTGCTTCAAATAGTACCTATAGATTGTTTATGCCAAATAAAAAAAAAAAAAATATATAATATAAAATACTAGTACAATTTAGTACAATTTACATGTTATCGATTAATTATTTAGCTAGGTAATTAATAAAAATATCGAAAATCGTACAACTTACGATTCTAGATAAAGTCATACTCTACAATTTGTATTATAGGTATTTTTACTGCAAACCTCTTGAATGAGCTGTGTTACTTACTTTAAGTACTAAACCGTATTTTTACGCCATGTTCATAAAATAAAAGAGTCCAGAATAGTGTCAAAATTCCTACTCTGTGGTACCAGGATCGCATGGTCTAGTCGCACTCGTACACCGTTCATCGGTTTCGTTCGGCGGCGGCGGCATAGTTATTACAAAAATTTTATATACTCGTTCACGAAAATGTGCAAATTATTTCGAGTTATAAATTCATAAAAAATTTTCTTTTTAAATCTAAGATTTGAAAATGTAATAAAAGATTCCTCATAAGTTTATCTACCTTTATCAAATAAAAATTTCTACAAGAAAGTTAAATTTAATTTTTAAGAGAGTTCGAAGTTTATATTTTACAACATTGGATATTCACTCGATTTCTCAAGAGCGCGATTTTCTTATTTTAATGTAAATCAAAAACGAATAACACGTAGATATATGAAAATTTGACTGAATGCTTATATTATCATTTTCTACACACCATAACATTTTGAAAATATCTTGATCTTGAATAATTAATAACATGAAAATAATTTTTTTTTAACGAATGTTATTAATTATATACTATAATATATATTATATTACATTAAATATTTATTATAGGAATAATATTGTATAATAACATTTACTACAATTATCAAAATGATAAAATACCTATTAGTTTGTTAATTAGATTTATAGAAACATTTTTAAATAAACATTTCATGGATTTAAAAAATTGGTTATTGAAATATAAAAAATCAATTAGTTAGAGTTTTGTTAAATAATGTCTCTACTGTAATTTTATTACCTAGTGTATACCTAATGTCTGCCTAGTGTATTATTAATTTATTAAAACCACAATATTTTTTTAAATAATTATGTTTTATGATTAGTAATTTTTCATGAAATTTTCTGATATGTGTCAGATTTTAACAATAATATTTTAGACAATTTAAAACGAGTTCGGATTCAGATTTATTTGACAAAGGGGGCAAATATCATATATTTTTAAAAAATAAAATAAAGGGTCTAATATAGGTGTTTGTTTGTATGTTAAAAAATAACTTATCCTGCAGTTATTTTAAATACAACATTGTAATCAATTATCAATTAATAAATACCAAACAGTAAACTTATAACAATTATAGCATTTAGTATTTACCAATCTGAAATATTGTAAGCCGTTAAGTCTTATAATAATAAAATTATAAAATCCATAGAAACTAGATTTAGTTATTTATTCGATTTGAGTAGTCCGAAAAGTAAAATATTCATTATTTCTTCCACAGTTCCACAAGCCACCCCAAATTCAAACTCAGTATTATTATTCATTAAGTCAGAGAATGACTTTTATATGTTATGAAATGTATTTAAAAAATAAACTATTTCATTTTATGTTTATTTTTCATGTGTTTTAAATTACCTGTGTATTTTTTTAAAATTAATATCTATGTCACTAAACATTTGAAAAATTAACCATGCAATTATATATAAAATTATAAAATGTATTAATTTTTGTCTTTATCTAGATAAATGAGTTATCTATTCCCAAGACTGATTATATTATACTCAAAATTGCTAAAAAAAATTAACTATCTATCGTAAAAACTTCACATATAAACACGGTTATCCCAACACCGGGCAACACAGATAATCTGATGTTTTTAGATTTTGAACTGAGCGAGGAAGCTAGTGGTTTTACAATGGTGTTTATTTATTTATTTATTTATTTTTTTTGTAATCTGTATACAAAATGTCTACCAGAAGGAGTTCTTCTATTTCAACATTTAGTACCTTATCTTTAATAATAACTATAATATACTATAATAACTAATAACAATATAAAATATCCAGACTGACAAACCGTCTCCGTTCAGAATCGTTTTTCTTATACAATGATATTATATCATTGAATTCAAGTTTAATACAATCATTATACATTATACATTATACATTGACTCACTTGTGTCTTGTAACCTACGGTACAGCACAGCGACATCCACTAACCCGCTTTTTAAATTTAATGTAACAATATGGTGGACGGTGGTTGTAAAATGGTTGCGAGTGAAGTAAAAAATACTAAATACAGCTGATAAATATAAAAATTTCAATTGAATAGTAAATTTTGCATTGTCACCTGAAAACTGTAGATATGGTTTTATATGCATTTATCTATAAATTTACTTCATAAACTTAGATTATTAATATATAAATAGGCGGAAAAGCCAGGACACACCCTGGATTTCACTTACTAAAAATTAAAATTCGTTTGGTTCATTTCAACCATGACTATTATCTATTAGACTATTGTCTATTACCCTTATCTGGGTATTTACAAGCTATTGGTGACTATTTGTCAGACGTAATTAAACATTTTTTTTTTTCCGAAAACATGGTTTCGTACTTAAATTAATATTGTTTATTGAAGTGTTTTACAAAATGAAAACACCAATCTTAAAAAAATTGTAGAGTAGAATTTTTTTCTAGAATCGTGAGGCCCGAATCTAGAAACCTGATTTTTGATATCGTATTTCAATCGTCCAATATGGTACAATAATATCACAAGTTAGTTTTTACATTTTATTATTATTTAGCTAATTAAAAAAAGTATGGAAAATCGGACAACTTACGATTCTAGATAAAGTCATACTCTACAATTTGTATTATAGGTATTTTTACTGCAAACCGTTTGAATGAGCTGTGTTACTAAAGTTTACACTTTTACACCTTTTCATAAAATAGTATAAAGAGTCCAGAATAGTGTCAAAATTCCTACTCGGTGGTACCAGGATCGCATGGTCTAGTCGTACACCGTTCATCGGTTTCGTTCGGCGGCGGCGGCACAGTTATTACAAAAATATTATATTATTCTCGTTAGACGCCTCCACTGCATATGTTCCTGGTACTTATATACGATTTACGTGGGACATAGGCGGTTAGTGTGTCTTAGACACGTTTTAGACGTGGTACATTATTCGGAATGTCAGACTAAAGTTTTTTATACATCAATTTCTACCTATGAATTCTATGACAAAATATCTATGCTTTTCAGGAGGTCGATTTTAAAATATTCAAAGGACCTTAGAATTAAGATTTTTATAATGAAATTGCATTACATAATATTTGTAATAGATTTATTTTAGGCACATTAAATGTCAATCAGAACATTAGACCCATCAGAACAGTGTTTTTTCTAAAGAGTTGTATAAATTCAACGATTTTTTTCGAAATTACAATCCAACTTCAGCAAGTATTGACTAACCGACTCTTAGTCGTTTTTATAGTTACACCCAGGATTTCAGGGTTTGCTACTTACGAGAGGTCACTGTGTAGAAACTTCAACCAACTAGGTATTACAAAGTCGCCCAATACTAATTTACCTTATTAGTTATTTACATCACATTTTGATACCAACAGGCAACATTCAATATAACTATATTATATGAGTCATAATACATTTTTAAGTAAAATGTACAATTTACTTACAAGCTTTAGCCTTTAGGACCTAAAATTTTATTTGTTGGTTGCGAAAGCTTGAAAATTCAATGGAAGGCTCGTAATATGTTGTTTCAAAGGCAGATGAAAAATATTAAAAATCCTTAGTCACAATTTTTTTTTATAAGCATTTAAAGTTCAAAAATTGACAAAATATGGAAAAATCACGAAAATTAGCAAATTATTTTGAGTTAAGAATTCGTAAAAATTTTTCTTTTTAAATCTAAGATTTGAAAATGAAACACAAGATTCCTTATAAGATTATCTACCTTTATCAATAAAAAAATCTCTACCGGACAGTCAAATTAAATTTTTATGAGCGTTTGAAATCCAAATGTTTACTACATTGGATTTTCACTCGATTTCTCATGTAGCGATTTCCTTATTTTGTTGTAATTCAAAAACGAATAACTGTAGATACATGAAAATTTCACTGAATGTTTATATTAGCATTTCCTATACACCATACAATTTTGAAAATATTTTGACTCTTTTTGAGCTGTTTACGGACATTTTCAGTTTTCAATTTTTTTAGTTTTTTTTTTTATAATTGTCAATAAAATTTTATTTGGTGGGCCAAAAAGTCTGAAAATTTAATACAAGCTTTCTTATATATTGTTACAATATCAGTTGAAAAAATTTTAAAAATACATAGGCACGATTTTTTTATAAGCATTTAAAGTTGGAATTTTGACAAAATTTATCAAAATCTCGAAAATTATCAATCGTTGGAATTAAAAAATTATAAAATGTTCAGTTTTTATAACTAAGAGTTGAAAATTTAAAACAAAGATTCTCTTAAATAATTCATACTGTAACCGAAAAATCTAAAAAATATATAAACACACTTATTTTTTACAGACATTTTAATTTCAAATTTAGACAAAATTTCATATTTAAACCAAGAATTACGATTTTAGTTATTTTGTTGTGATTGAATAATATTATTCGTGGGTACTTGAAACTTCTAAAGTGTACTATTATATATCTATGATAGTATGATAGTATCACGGTTTTTGTTGATGTATAACGCGTTACCAGTACCTAATGGATATTGTGATATGATTAATTTGGAATTTATTATAGGTACCTATTATAGGTCAATTTTTTGTTTAATACCATAGATATGTATATAATATGTCTTATACCTACATAGACTGACATACCGTCTCCGCTCAGAATCGTTTTTCTTATACAATGATATTATATCGTTGAATTCAAATTTAATATCAACCATTATACAGTGACCTACTTGTAACCTACTGTACAGCAAAGCGACACCCACTTGCCCACCTTTTTATTTTTATTTCTAGTGTTATAATGAAAACTGTTGTCATGAAAACTAAAATTATTATTTTTTTTTTGTAATTTATTTATTTTATCTACCTATGTAGTTTATTTAACAAGTTTTTTTATGTATCTCTAGAAAGAGGGGCCCATCCATTTTGTTTGCACCTGGGCCTTTGACTCTCTAGTTACGGCACTGCTTTAGGTATTATTAATTAATTGTTATTTTTATTTGTTGCATTAAATTTTATATTCAATAAAAGTTGCATTGCTGACTGGAAGTGTATAAAACATTTTTTACCAAATATATAAATTTGGATACGAAGAAACCATGTCTCGTGATATCATGAACTTCAATACTTCATTTAATTTTAAAGGTCCACTGTCCAGTTACTCCAGTTTCAATAGTTTCGTCATACACTTGTTCAGTGGCGGTGTGATGCAGAATATTTGGGTCAAGTGGCCCATCTATAAATTGAGGTGGATGGTCTGGTGGGATTGACCTATAGCCCCTTACAAAATATAAAATTCTTGTTGTGCCTGGAGGTGAGTTTAAATATATTATTTTAATAAAAATTTGGGGGTGGATGGGTATAGACCAAATGGACATGTTGCTGTCCCATTCATGAAAGTAGTTTGCGCCTCCACTGCACTTGTTGGTAAACAAGACATTATGAACGGTATTCCACTTTTATATCAATTTCATCTATGTCAACTTCATAAAATCTTATATATAAGATATAAGTATATAACTATCTAACATATTTTTATACTCATGTTTTTCAAATTAGATGCATTATAAGTTGATAAGTTAAAGCACGATTTTGTACGCACTATTTTACTTCAATACTCACTCTTTACGTCTGTATAGTGTATATACATAATAATATACTTTATACATTTATACCTTATACATTTATAATTATATTTGTAATTGTATAGAAATATTCTTGAACCTGTGTACATTTTATAAATTATTATTATTTAATATTATTTTATTATTGATCATTGTACATAATTTTTTCAAATAAAAAAATGTTTATGTAGTTAGCTATTTCGAGGGGCCACATTTATACTGTGGGTCAGCTGACGTCCTAAACCCCCCCAAGTGTTTGAGTTGTATTATTTTAGAATATGTTACGGTTAACATAATATTAAACAAAATACATCTACCCTTCAGTGAATTTGATCATCTTTATTATGTTGTGACTAAAGACATAAAATGTCTATTATTGCATATCTGCATGTTATTATTGTTATAATATGTTTACGCATTGATCAGATCTTTGTATTATACATAGACCTTATATTATATGTTAAGTATAAGGTCTGTGATATTATATTCTCATAATAAGCAGTCAATATTCACTAATAACTCTAAATAAATTAGATATTGTTGATGAAATTAATAAAAAAAAAACAGAATCGCTTTAACAATTTTAAATAATTTACTTTTTTATTGTCCAATATTGTGAAAAAAATTGAATTATGTATTTTCAAAATAATTTATATCAAACATATTTTAACATAGCAAGCTTATTTTTGTGTAACCTTGATTTGTTTAGGTTTAGGGTCTGCAGCTTTAACTGTTTGCGCAACTTGCTTCTTCTTCTTCGAAAGAAACACTTTCTTGTTATCCATAGCCAATGATCTTAAATCGTCTTCAGCCATTTTGTTAACATTTTTACTTATCATACGTTTAATCCGCTGACCTTCTTCATACTTGTGTTTTTTTGAAGGCATTGGACATGCTATACAATAAAATTCATACACAATTAAAGATTAAACAACACAATGGACAACAATATTATATAATGTAGATCAATATTAATCAGTAATCAAAAAAGAAATAGATTCAAGAAAAAATTACCTTTTCTACTTTTATTTGGTTCGTTCCTCTTTTTCTTAGAAAAAGAAACTTGTGATTTATTTTTGAATTTTCCCTGTGGCATAATTATTAAAATAGTGTACAAGAATTAAAACTTTTAATTAATATTATTATGTAATAAACTGTAAACGGTCAACACTGAATTATTTAAGATTTTTAATATTTTTAAAAAAATATTTTTTGATAACAATAATGTTTGTTAACAACAACAAAAACACGTGAAATATTATCAATTCTAATCCAGAATGATATCAATTTTGTAACAATAATTTTATGTTTGGTTATAAAATTTAAATTTGAATTTAATAAACTAATTATTAAGTACATAGGTATTAAAATTTAAAGCGAGCTTCGATTTATTTTTAAAACCGAATTTATATTTTTATTAATTTCGACGGTATCTATTACAAGTTTATGTAAAACCAATAACTATTTACACGATGGAAGTAAATGTTGATAATTGTTTAGAAGCAGTGAACAAGGAAATTCAAATAAAATGTGAGGAAAAAGTGAATGAATCAGAAACAGCTAAAAAAGAATGTCAACCAGAATCAGTAGCTGAAGATATTCAATTAAAATCTGAAGAAAAAGTGAATGGAACAGAACCAGTTAAAAAAGAATATCAATCGGAATCATTGGCCGAGAAAATTCCAATAACATCTGAGGAAAAAGACAGTGAAGTAGGATTAGAAGAAATAAAAGATCAAACTGGGTCAGTGACAAAAGAAGATCCTTTTGCTTATCTAGATCGGGATGATTTTACTTCTGAAAAGTACAAGATAGAAATAAGAAACCTTCCAAAACATTATGGAATTGCTGTAAGTACCTACAAAAGAACATAATTTATGAAATATGAATATTAATGATTACAATTTGCACTACTTTTTAAACATTTTTAGGAGTTCAAAAAATTAATTAATTCAAAGTTGGCATTAAATTGTTCTAAAGTCAAGACTCCTAACCGTAATGGAAAATGGCTCTATATGTGTTTTCGTTCGGAAGAAGACAAAAATACAGCTCTGGGTATTTTAAATGGATATAATTGGAAAAACACAAAATTAGATGCTAGCGTAAGTATCCTATACCTACATGTGTAATTTTCAACTTGTTTTCATTGGTCTTAAAATATCCTAGAATGCCAAAGCTGTTCCTGATCCATTAGTAAGAAAACGTAATGAACAATTTGATGACAGTCCAGACGTAAAGAAAATTAAATTGGACAATGCTGGTGCAGAACAACAGATGATAAGTGCTGTAACACCTTTGTATAATATATCTTATGATGAGCAAGTAAGTTATACATAATTATGTACCTATATTTAATTTGGAAAATAACAAATTGAATGTTATTGATTTATAAGAAAAATTGTTCTATGATTATCGACCTCTTGTACCTATATAACTTGAATTTAACTGTCAAATTCTTTTGACAAAATTATTAATTTATTTGATATGAATTTAGTTGTTAATTATTACAGTAACAAGGACAACGTTTAATTTTGTATATCTTTAAATTATTATTACAAATTTATCAATATAATAGAATATATTTTTATTGGTTTCAGTTAATCCAAAAAACCAATTCTATCAAAAATGTTCTTATGGATTATAGTAGACGGTTGAAACGAATTAAGTGTGGTCAAGGTATATTTGACTGGTTAAAAAAACAACAAGATGAAAATAATGGTCTTCCATGTAAACTTTTGGAAATACAAAGTCTTAAAGACGATCCAGAGAAATGTGTTGGTTATAGAAATAAATGCGAATTTACTATAGGTAAACTATTTGGTATATTAATTAAATATGTGTATTTATATTTTATACAGATAAAACTTCAGTCATAATTGTTATGTAATTATGTGTTTCAGTATCATTTTGAAACAAGTAATATTTAACTAGTAAATTTAAATTTTGAGTTAATTGAAGAAAATATATTTCTTAATATATATTCATTTAATTGGCTTGTTTACTTTTTTTGGAAATATATAAAAATAATTTTTATTTATTATCTTAACTGCATAAAAAGTGGATATAACTATTAACCCTTTTTGTACTATTATTTAATATATTGTATTTTAGGTATGGACGTAGAAAATAAAGAACCAGTTGTTGGTTTTCGCGTTGGTGCATATAACCAGGGAAAAACTAGTGTTGCCCCTATTCATAATATTTCAAACGTTCCTCAACGTATGAAAGATGTTGTTAAAGTAAGTTTTTATCTTCTTGAACTAAATCCTGTATTTATGTTGGTGGGCAAAAATTTTTCCCATTTTTCCCATTTCCATTTTTAGTAAACATAAGAATATGGGAAAATACTGGCACATATTTTATATTCATGTGTGTAATATTTCTTATACTTTTGTTATTTAGTGTTTTCAAGATTTGGTTAGAGCTTCAAAACTTCCTGTGTTTGATCCTGAAAATTATTCAGGTCATTGGCGTCAGTTAACTGTAAGACTGAGCTTAAAAACTGAACAATTGATGTTAATTTGTGTAGTACACACAGAAAACATGGAGGAATCAGCTCTGAATTCTTTGAAACAATTAATCTTAAGTTATTTTACTGAAGGAGCTGGGACTGTTTGTAAAGTAGATTCTCTTTACTTTCAAAAAGCAAAAAAAAGAGCGTAAGAATTAAAATCATTATGTATTTACTTCTGACTTACATCGATAATAAGATATCATTGGAAGTAACCCCTTTTTAAAAGTATTGTTTTACCTTTCAAGCTAAAAATTAATTAATATATCATATAATAAATCATCTCAATCTGAATATTTTAGAAGCTGTAATATCCCCGATTTACTGAAAAATATACTAATGTTACATCATATTTGTTATTTATTATAAAAATATTTTTTTAGCGCTGGTGAAGGAAATTCATTTCCCTTAGAATTGTTACATGGACAGGGATATATCGTTGAAGAAGTGAAAGGTCTTAAATTGCGAATTTCACCTGAATCGTTTTTTCAAATAAATACAGCTGCTTCTGAAATATTGTTTGATGCTGCGAAAGATTTAGCTTCCATTAATTCACAAACTACCGTGTTAGACGTATGTTGTGGTTCTGGTACAATTGGACTGTCTATAGCTAAGGTAGTTTAAAACATTTTTTCTTATGTTTTTTATATACTATACAGTCAATTGTGTACAACTGATTAGAATATTTATAATTTTTTTTTTTTTAAAGGATTGTGCCCAAGTAATTGGTGTTGAAATTCAGGAAGAAGCAGTTAATATGGCAAAATTAAATGCCACTGAAAATGGTATCACTAATGCAATATTCTTTGCTGGAAAAGCTGAAGAAGTAATGAACAAACGTGAGTTTCAGAACCCAGAAAATGCTAATGATGTAGTCGCCATAGTCGATCCACCCAGAGCAGGACTACGTAAGCAATCCACTGGCTTCATATCTTATATTGATAACAAACTATTAAATTGCCCATTAAATTAATGTGTTATAGATAACAAAGCGATATTGCTTCTACGAAGGATGACACATTTGAAACGATTAGTATACATGTCTTGTAACCCTAAAGGGGCTATGCAAAACTTTTTATCTTTGTCCATGGCTGAATCTAAAACTAAACAAGGTGCTCCATTTGTACCAGTGAAAGCTGTTCCTGTTGATATGTTTCCACAAACACCACATTGTGAACTAATAGTGTATTTTGAACGACTTTAAGTTAAATATTGCTGTGGGCTAAAGGGCAAATAATATAATTGCTTCATTTATAAGAAAATTATTTACAAATTTGGCCTTTTAATTTTTTTATGATATTTTACTGCCTACTGGTAATTTTGACCAATGCATTTCTTTCTTGATTAACAATTTGATTTTCTTGAAGAAATATAAAAATAAAATATACTATTTGTTAAATTTTTTAATTTACTAAAATCTTTTATGAAAAAAAGTTTGTACTGTAATTAATATTGAAATGATATTTTTATTAAAACATATAATTTTTATAGAAACAGACTGAGGTCTTTAAACTCCTCAAAAAGATGTTTCACTGGTAAAGTTAACATTGGTATAATGGTATGGTTAAGTATGAAATGTTTATGTGTAAGACTTATGTAAATAAATATTTTCATAATAATTTTAATATGCATGTAGATATAAATATACAATGCATTGTTATTCATTATTAGGTTTTTATTATTTATTTTTCAGTTTTTTAAACCTCAAAACATCTTTACAGAGGTTGTAATTGATCGTGCCAATAATAAACAGTGATAATATATCCATCTTAAGTTTAGTGTGAATATTAATAATGCATTTTCAATATAATTTTTAAAATGTAATTAAATAAAGAGGAATTTGATTATCAAAAATGGACAAATGAATACACTAATTTCAATTAAATTAAATTATAAACAGCACACGTGAAATACTGCAGTCTTGTGCCAAAAATAAGGAAATAGTTTTGTTAATGTTATTTTTACTATGGGGCAGGTGTGCTAAACTTTTTCCAATACCTGGGCCTCATTGAACATTTAATATTTTTATACATACTGAAAGTCGTATATTGTATTGTACATTTATACCTACACTTTGCAGTTTGCGCTAAGCCATAAGCACCTCAAATATACCATAACATTAACTCAAATTTTTATCAGAATAAAATTTTACTGTCTATATAAATAAAATATACTTATATAAAATACTTGAAATATCCATACCGACAGATTAACAGTGTTAATTTGACATTGAAAATTATGTTTAATTTGAACTTATTGATATGAAAATAAATAAGTAATCATTGTATAATATGATGAAAAAACAATTCTGAGCGAAAACAGTCCAACTTTTTGGTTATCAAACAATTACAATTTTCATACATTTTTTTTCCCGAATATTTTTTGAAGTGTTGAGAATTTTCAATATTAACGTCTCAAAAGCACCAACTAAATCCAATTTGCTACAAAAAACATCCATTGAAGTAGTTGATCAGATCAGAGCATTTGTCTACTGAAAAAGTGTCTCCAGATATAAAAAAAAACATACATCAATACCTACAGTCTTTGGTCCACTACTCCACTCAGAATCTAAAACTTAAGTAAAAATTGTTTAAAAGACGAAATTTCATTAGGCTGGACCCGGACGGAATACTGCTGCGGGTTGGGTGCATATCTGCAGTCTGCTATAGTGCTATGTTCTGCATAATAATTGATATCAATTCTGTATTATAGTGAATACCTCTCAGTTGACACTGTCTTACATTATTTTAAGAGAATTACCTATATGTAATCTTTAAAGCTAAAATACAAATTAATATAAGTAAGCCTGCTCAACAAAACTTATTACTTAATAAAATATTCTAATATATAATGCTTTTCAGACTTGAAACAAACTCTACCATTTAACCACCCACCCACCACTTTGTCAAATTTTTATTTTTGTATTTAATATAGGTAGTAACTACAATCAATATAATTACTAAAAAAAAAATTTATCCTACTAAATCCATTGTCCGGTACCCACCCACCCACAATTTAGTACTTAGTTTAAATTAAATTACCTACTACAAATGGCATAATATTAGGTAGGTTTAATCAGTAATGTACCTATATGTTTGTTTGTGGAATCGTTTTTATACTTTAAAAGATTTTGGTAACAATTTACTGTTTAGATACCAATATACCATGTAGATAAATTTGTATATCCTAATTTGTATAGGTTCCTACCTCCTACCTATAATATTATGATATAGTTTTCAGATTCAATTAAAATGTTCGGTATATCTATTATCTACTGATCTACATGAATAGAAACATAATATTTATATAAGAGGTAATAGGTATTAAGGTCTATCCAGGGCCGCATTTAGGGGGGGGCACTGGGTACAACTGCCCCGGGCGCCAGTATTTTAGGGGCGCAAAAATTTTGTGGACAGAAATGTCTTTACTTATGATTTTTTAAAATTGTATACTTTAAATTATTTTTATAACAGTATTATATAATATAATCTAGTATAATAGTATTGTATATATTATTATAGTATAATAATTATGCTGTTTGAAATTTATTATTTAAACAATCAATTTATTTATAGCAATATAGCTACAGCGATCGATAATTATTAATATACCTAGTTCCCAAATTTGTTGTGATTATGTCAATAGACATCAGTTATTTATAATAATACGGGCAATACCAATACGATTTTATATTACATAGTTTTGTACTTATGATTAAAATAAAGGAAGTTCCAAAACAATGATCTTGAATATTATTCTATATTATAAATATCATTCATTTAAATAGGTAATATTATTTAATTATTTGCTATTAAATTTTGTGTTTATTATAATCATTATTTTTTGTAATTTCTACAAAATTAAGTAAGTAAGAATCAATTAAACTATAGGTATGTAGAGATTCAAAAATAATTAATGTTTAATAACTGATAAGTTGACAAGTTGTTATGAAACAAATTTATGCAGGTCACTTTTTTGTCACTTTTATAAATAAATTCAGTCACTTTTTTTAAATAGCTTAAACCACTACCAGCCCTGTATACAGTTACATTAATTTTATAAAATACTATAAACAATAAAATATAAAATATTTATTTGCATAGTTTTATATAATTTTATTTTATTTATCCATGAAGTACCTACTTAAATATGTTTAAAAAAAAAACAACTTAATGATACTAAATTATTAGCAAGGTTTGAGTGACATAAATTCCTATATATCTTTGCGGAGGGATCAAGCAATTACTAAACAATATTTTTTTTAAAAAAGCACTCTTAAACAAATATTCTTTTCTTCGCTCAAAATCTAAAGGGTAATGAGGATCTACCTCACATATTTTCCATGGGAGGAGCAATTTTTTTTTCACCGGGGATGGGGGGCGCCAATTTTTTTTTTGCACCGGGGCGCAAAATGTCTAAATGCGGCACTGGGTCTATCGAATCCCGGAATAAAAATCCCCCGGAAAAAAAATCCCCTGAAAAAAAATTCCCCGACGAACAACGCCGGAAAAAAAAAATCCCCAGACTACAATATTACTCACAACCTCTTGCAAATGGTTTAACAAATATTTTTTAAACGTTAATTAGTATCTATAATTAATATTTAATTACAAATACGTATATTATATTATATTGTTAAAAAAATTATATATTATAAATAATATTTTGTTTTAAATTACGATAATATATTATGTGTAATTCAAATTAAATAACTAACTTTACCTTATATTATATATTATCAAAGGTACATACTAAACCGCTTATCGTCAAAATGTCACAGAAAAGGCAATATTTTATTTCGGGAATTCAATTTTTACAGAATTATACCTACATAAAATATATAGGTACCTATATTTTGTATAATATTTTTGTATACAATGTTTTTAACTGTATTTATTAATTGACGTATCGATCATTATAAATATTTTTATAATTTTTTTAACAATATAATATAGTATATTATATTATAATAGAATATAATATACGTATTTGTCATTAAATATTAATTATAGATACTAATTAACGTTCCAAATATATTTGTTCAACCATTTGCATGTGATTGTCAGTAATATTGTAGCTGGGGATTTTTTTCCGGGGTTGTTCGTCGGGGGATTTTTTTTCCGGGGATTTTTTTTCCAGGGGATTTTTTTTCCGATTACCGGTCTATCGACTATCGTGGATTTATTCTATTATCTACTGTACCTACCTAATTTCAGTAGACCATGAACTAATAAAATTAATATTATCTTAGTTCATGACCAAGGTGTATTGATCTACTGATACATAATGCATTTACCTACACCTTGTTCATGACTAAACTAAATAAATATTTTTATCTAGGTATTATTATTATTATTGTGTTAGAAAATAGTAAACGTTTAGGTTAAGATTGTTAGGCCAATCATGAATAGCCAATAGGTAGTGTATATAGTGTATAGCAGATACAGTACAGTAGGTATACCACCTATACCAATACCATGTAATGCTGTGTTAATGTGTTATAGCATTTTATATGTGTTTGTGGCTTACATTGAACCAAATAAATCGAATTCTAGAATCTGGATGACTAATACACAGTTAAATTGACTGCTTAAAAGGCAGTTCCAGCCCATTGCCAGGATTTATCCCAAAACGGCCAAAACCAATAGTTTGCTTTTGTCATACCGCAAACGGGCTTAATGGCTCTACAGTATAATCTGGCAACGATCCAATTTGGATATGTCAAGGCGGCGGACATTTAATGCGTGCGTTTCCCCATATAACTATATAAGTATATAATAATAATTCTCTCGGGCCATTTTGCCACGATATAACGTTTTTTTTCATAGGACACAATAGGGACACTTTGTTTCAGTGCGTATAGAATCTCCGCCCTTTGAATTGTTTACCCGCATTAAAACACTAACATGTTATGCAGAAGTAAATTGTTTTATGCTTTATGCATTATTATGCTCCGTGTTTTCTGTGGTTCTGTTAAAGAGAACTAACTTTAAAATGTCTTCTGCGTAACACTAATCGATAATTAATTGTTATTCTTCGAATTGTGCTACTTTTGACATCAACACCTTTTCTGATATCTAGGAATCAAGTTGGAGCATTTGGGAGGTAAAAATTGGAAATTCCAAGTAGTTTTCGAAATCATCGAGAAAAACGAAAAAATAATGAAGAAGTGAGAATTTTACTTGAATTTTAATGAAATCTTTT